GTATTGGCATAGTCATCCAAAGCTGCATTCAAAAATGACTGAGTGAACTGACAAACAGGCTGCACTTCAGCCAGGCCTGGAGCAAGATAAACAAACCTCAGAGTGAAAAAGCTCCCAACACATTTACAGTTTGAGCCAAGCAGAGCTCACATTTCTCCCTTGTAGCAGCAATCCCACAAAGGCCAACAGCTGCCTGTATTCCATTTACAGTGCAGACAGCCCACCTGGGGTCGGTCTAGTTCTAAAGGACAGAAATCAATTTTTTTTTGAGCTCTTAATAAAAGCACAGTCAGGCATCCCTTGTCCACAGCACAGGCGACATTATACCTCCTTCACTATCTGTCAGGACCAGGGAATGGGCTCTCCCACAGGACACCTGCAAGACTCGAGTCTGCTGCGGCTTCTCCAGTGGTAATGGAATTGGAGACGGTTCCAAGACATATTCATAGCCCTTAGCTTAATGAAGAGAGAAAAATGTTAAGTCAGTAGCTTCCATAAAGTAAATTTAGCATATATTTGCTGATTCCATTGTACATTCACGTACTCACTTCTCCTTTGTTACAAAAGCAGATACATTTTAGAAAGCCAAGATAGAGGCTGACAGAAATTTACTGCAGAGAAAGAGAGAAGGTAAAAGCCATGGTGAAGGCTCAAGCCAATATCACTGCCTAATCAAAAGTCCACCACACCTAAAGGCTGAATTAAGGCTTCAGGTGGCAGAATTGAGAAACTGAGGCTTTCAGCCATATGTTCAACCACTTTGATGAATAAGGCTGGATTACCAGAACTTAACACCAAGCACAAACTAAGTACTGTGTGAAAATGGGGATATTGCAAACAAGATACAAGAGCAAGAATCACAAACAACAAAAAAAGCAGGAAAGGTGAACAAAAAAATCTTAGGGCTTTATATTTAAAGAACAGTAGATTAAAGGCTCTTTCAGAAAAAAGGAATGCAGGAAAGACTAGCTAGGCTAGCTCCATAGGGAATAAGAGATCTAACATTTATGAAAGAAAATGACATGCTGTACTTGAAAAAGATTTAGTAACTTGAAGAATATGTAATCAGTTATAGTCAATGGGGGGGAGCAAAAAAGAACAGCAAAACATAAATCAGTACTAGGGAAAAGGTTAAGGGGAGATAAAAAGCTTTGATATCAAAGAAAGTCACTGTAACAAGTGACATCAAATCCCAGAGGACTCAAAGAAATATTTTGCTCACATGCAGCAGTGCTTTAACTGGTTCTCACTGTCTTCAATAAAAATAATAATTAAAAAAAACCCTAGAAAATCTACACAAGCCCTTTTGCAGTAAGACACTACTGGATGTGAGGACAGGCAGGCACTGGATGTGACAACAGGATGTTTGTGAATGGCGGGTGCCTGCCATGCAATAGAGCAGGAGCTGAAAGGCAGCCAAGTCTCTGTCTAAAGACACGTGGAAGTCACAAAGCAAAAAAATCTTTTCCTCTCTCTCTGTTCCTTCCAGCAGTGCAACACAGGCTATTAGGATCTGTGGTAATCATCACTGATGGCTGAGGGATTTTGAAGAATAGAGGCAATGAGGTGGCTAAGGAAGAGGAGGATAAGAATGAAATATTAGTAGTTCAGATACAACCATCTAAAAGTCAGACACAAATTCCCCTGGAAATAAAGCATCTACAGAGACAGTGTTGGAACCAGTGGGTAACAAAGTAAGTTTGTAAAACAGTAATGAGCAGCACATCCCAAAAGAAAGCTTGTCTGAGGGAAGTAAGGAGCAGTAGCAATCCCACTGTTGAATTCCCACTTTCAACAGATCCTGCCAAACCCTCTTACTTAGCAGGGCTTGAACTGCAAAACTACTTAACCTATTTCTGGATTCTCTGGCAAAAATAATCTCCAGGTCAGATGACAGGCAAGATAATCACAAGACACACCTGAGACATCAGCACGTGCAGAACGAAGACACAGCAAGAGCTGAAACCCTTAAAAGCAGAAGTCAGGAGAGGCTTTTCCAGCCCCTGCATTTTGCCGCTGCTGTTTAAGCTCACACTTGCTGTGCACACACACTGCTGGGGTTCTTTGCTTCTCCAAAAACTTTAAGATTTTGCCCATATCAGATGCATTACACTCTTATACATTATAAAAACTGCTTTTAACATGATTTTCCTCGACTGTTTATGGAGGAATGTCTTCAGAGACAGCCATTTTATGATGAAAGTTTGTGTTTCTCCTATTTGTCTTTGGTGAAAAGTGCCCAGTCTCTGCACAGAAATCATTATCTTAAATGGTTTGAGAGCCTGGAATAAGACAGAATGACTGAATAATGTGGTTTTCCTTCAAAATTCAACTTGCTATTAAAATAATTTAAAAAAACGCCCTACAGCTTCACAAACAAAACAACCGAAAAAAAGCCAACCAACCAAACGACTGTATAAAAAGAGCTCTGTGGGAAAGGAATTTAGTTTATAAGTGCATAGGCAACAGAAGTGAGCAAACCACCCTGCCAAAATCGATTAATTAACTAGCCCCTAACATTGTCTACTATTGAACTACAGATTCAAAGCCACCCCTTAACCAACCTCCACATTTTCCAGAATAAATAGTTCCATTCCAGCCTGGATGTAACTAAACTCTGTAAGTGCAGTGTATAGAACAGAGGCACATCTTGACCAAGTACAAAGCACAGAAAAACACAGTTAAGTTCAAGAAAAAGATCTCTTTAAAAAAACCAACAAGCACCAGCTTGGCACTGCATCAAAGCCTCCTGATATTTTTCACACCTTCAAACTGAAGTTTCCTGTACAGGTATCCTGCAGTGCCCTCTTGTGCCCCCCCCTCCCCACCCTGTAAATCTTTAAAACACTCCAATCCTTACTTTGATCTCTTCTGCTCCTCTGGAATCCAAGCTGGGAATCCTTGTTGAGCCCCATACCCCACACTTTGGTGATGTCCGTGGTATTAGAGGCCAGCAGTGTGAATCCATAACCACAAGCAGCAGAGGATATCTTTAAAGACAGACAAAACCCACACCATTCAGTTAGCAATTGTGGCTTAGAAAAGCAAGTTTCAGCCCACGCTATTTGTTCATCAGCATTCATCCCTCATTGAGCTACATCCATATACGGCCCGAATTCAAGGCACGTACGATTTTGCAAAAATTATCAGAAACATTCTTCTGTGATAAGCACAATGGCGCAAATTCAAGTCCAATTTTTTTGCCTTTTTGTTTTCATGTGCATACATCTTTATTTTTGTATTATTTTGGCCCCATTCAAACACAACAGGAAGACCTGTCTGCTGACCTGCATCAGCAGATTACAAAAAAAAAAAACCAACCAAGCAAAAAGATCTTAAAAGAATAACATTCCCGTTTTATTCCTTTTGCCAAAAAAAAGCCCAGGACAAAAGCCATGTGAGGAGCAACTGAGGTCACTTGGTTTGTTCAGCCTGGAGGAGAATGAGGTCAGACCTCATCGGGGTCTGCAGCTTCCTCATGAGGGGCAGCATGGATCTCTCCTCTGTGTGAGCAGTGATAAGACCTGAGGGAACTGCTGGAGCTGTGTCAGGGCAGGGTTAGGTTGGATATCAGGAAAAGGTCCTTCCCGCAGAGAGTGGTCGGGCACTGAACAGGCTCCTCAGGGCAATGGTCACGGCACCAAGAGAGCTCCAGGAGTGTTTGGACAACGCTCTCGGGTGCATAGTGGGATTGTTGGAGTGTCTGTGCAGGGCCGGGAGTTGGAGTCGATGATCCATGTGGGTTCCTTCCAGCTCAAGATATTCTATGAATGTTCTGACCTTCTCTGCACTGAACAGCAGAGCACAACAAGTGAAACACGTAGGCAAAAGAGTAATATTTTCAAGACAAGCTTCCTATTTGTCGTGTGGGAGGAGCCACGGAGCCACTGGTGGCGAGGCGCGTTTTCTCTGGCAAATGTTCTTCCCACCCTGGTTCTCTTATGCCTCTGACAAAACTACAGAGATATACTTTCCAACCTGTATGCTGCTGCAGTTATACCAATAATCATCTCGAGTAACACTGTTATATCGACAAAAAACTGTGAATCACGACAGAGCCCTTAAACCCGATCCCGCAGCGCCGCTCTCGCTGGGCAGAGCCCTGACCAGGCTCCGGGGGGCAAAAACGGCAGCCCCGCCGGGCCGCGCCCACCTTCTCCTCCGTCTCCAGGCGGTACGGCGTGGGTTGGATACGCCGCGGCTTCTTCCAGCCCGCGTCAGGCTTCACGAAGCTGGGGACGCCCAGGGCGCCCGAGTAGCTGAAGCCCCACACGAACACGCGGTCCTTGCGCCTGGCCGCCTTCCCCGTGTACTGGAACACTGGGGCGGCCTCTTCGGCCTCCCGCAGCTGGCGGGTGCTCGGCGGCCCCGCTGCCCCGCCCAGGCCCCTGCAGTGGAACGGCCGCGCCGGCCGCGCCGGCCCCGCCATCCTGAGCGCCCTCAGCGCCCCCGCCATGGCCGCACTCAGACCGCCGCCATCTTGCCGCTCCCCCGCGCGGAGGTCACCGCCCCTGCGCGCACGCGCCCTGCCGCGGCGGCGCGGCGCGCTCGTCTTAAAGGGGCTACCCCGCCATCTGCTGAGGGTGTGTCTCAGAGCCCAGACCCAAATCTAAACCTAAACCTACACCCAAACCTAGTTCTAAATCTAAACATACCCCCAGACCTAAATCCGCACCCTAGTATGGATTAGACCCAGCCCAGACCCAAACCAAGATCAAAACCCAAACTCAGGCCCAAATCTACATGTAGACCCAGACCTCACCCCAAACCCAAATCCAAACCCAGACCCAGACCACCCCCGTCTGGCGTGGCGATGGCAGGGCTGGCTCTGGTGGCACCCAAAACCAGCCGTCACACCACACTCCCTCTGAGAAGCAGCCCCCCTCTTTTGCAAGAGACTCTTGCCCAATATCCCCCCAGGGAGAACACCTTTTCTGTCACGATACCCACTCTGCTCCTCAGGGTCTGCCTGATTCACTGTCTAGGTGGACACTGAGATGTCTATCAAGTGTCTCTCCTTTATTGATGAAAACCACAAAATCATTCAAAACACAAAGAGGTGATAAAAGGGGATCTAGAGATGAGGGGTCCTGGTGGCTGTGAGGTCTCAGCCCCTTGGAGCTGGTGGAGCAGGGCCGGTCCCTCCTCACAATGCCACCAGGACACCTTGGGCTGGCCATGATGGAGGATGAGAGCGGGCACAGGTCTGTGCCAATTTGCCCAGCAGTCCCCTGTGGCCTGTGGTGGCTGCCAGAACCACATGGATCCCTGGTCTGGCTCCAAGCCCTGGCTGTGCAGGGGCTGGAGGAGATGAAGCAGTGGGTGTCTGGTGTGGGGGCTCAGGGGATCCTCACAGGATCTTCCTCCGGGTCCTCTCAGTGCAGCGGTTCAAAATGAGATCTTTGCTGGGACGAGGAGGAACAGCAGGTTGAGCCTTGGCCTTGTTGTCTTGTGGCTCATTTTTCTCAACTGCGAGCAAAGCAGATGTACAGATGGGTCAAAGTGCTCCACCACCCACTACCCTCATGAACGTTCAGCAGCTTCCTATGTGATGGCCACCAAAGCTTCTGCCTCTCCTCCCTGTTGCCTGTAACGGTCTTCATGTAGGTGAGGGTGGTGGGATGAGCCCACCTGTGCCCAGCTGGGAACTCTTCTCAGGGGAATCCCAGCTTTAGGTCTGCACAAGGAGCTGCTCTCCTTTGGGAAGGTACTGCATGGGGACTGCCAGATCTAAAGGGTCTACCTCAATGGCAGCCATCTTTCTCATGGAGAGAGGCTTTTTACAAGGGGCTGGAGTGACAGGACAAGGAGGAATGCCTTCACAATGACAGAAGGAAGGGTTAGATTAAATATTAGGAAAAAAATCTTGCCTGTGAGGGGGGTAAGGCCCTGGCACAGGTTGCTCAGAGAAGCTATGGCTGTCCCATGCTTGAAAGTGTTCAAGGCCAGGTTGGATGGGTCTTGGAGCAACCTGGGCTAGTGGAAGGTGGGGTTGGAACGAGATAATCATTAAGGTCCCTTCCTACTGAAACCATTCTATGATTCCATGATTCTTCATACAACACTTCCCTCTGGGGGCTCTGCTCACGTATGTGGCAATGGCAATGGTAATGGGGAGGCGAGGTGCACAGAGGAAAGCACAGGTCCCAAATGCGGGCTGACCTCCCTCCAGGTCCATATTGCACTCTATCTGACCTATAGCCAGGGGTAAGAAACCTTGCTGAAAGAAACACCTCCCTGCACACACTTTCCCCATCGGAAGAAGGCAGATGGGCAGGGGGTGACCTCAGTGTGCCATCCTGCTCCAGCTGCCAGCACTGGGGGTCACGGGCCAAGCCTGCAGGATTCCAGTCTCATTGAGACTTACTGATGACATTGGCCTTGTTCTGGGAATTTCCCTGCATGTTCCACTGGCTCTGGATGTACTTCTTGCTGTTCCTCCTGTAAGTCTCCTGGCTGATCTGCTTCCGGCCCTGCTTATGGATGCTCTTCGCATTTTGGATGGTGGATCTGCAGGGAGTGAGAAACAAAACTTTCATTTTAATGCTGGCAGCTCTAACACCACACGTTTCTTTCCCCGTGTCTCCTCCTCTGCTTCACCCAAACCCCAGTTTCTGCTTTTGAGTTTTGCCTGGTGGATGCCAGCCCTCGAGGAGAGCCACAAGGGACACGATGTACGATGTGTTCAGAGGTAGCTGGATGGTGCTTTAGAAGCAAACACTGAAGGGTGAACCCTGAGCACAAGTCTGGAAGGTAACAGTGGGGATGGTGAGGAAGATTGGGTGTAAGGCTGGGAGGATGAGATGGGCATGAGGTTTACCAAGAAAGCCCCGTAAGTGATCTATAGCTCTTTGATGAGTGGACATACAGCACCTCTCCTGGCTGCAACACTGAGGTCCCTGCTGTAGGGCTTGGCATGACTCCCCAATGCCCAAGGATCAGATGCAGGGGAATGGAGCGTGGGGCATGTGTCAGCATGCACCTGGATGTGCAGTGTTGAACCCACAGCAGAGAAACTACTGAGAGAAGTTAAAGGCTGAGCAGCATGGTGCTACTACAGGAGAACACACAGCATCAGGACCGCCCCCAGGCACGCAGACGGAGGCCACTGCTTTGCCTCCACTACCACGGCAGCAGTGAGGTGGCTCCTGAACTCCACCTCATGGCACCATCCTCCTGCTCTTCTTGAGCCAATGTGTCTGCCTACCTTCAGCCCCTTCCTGGTCTGAGGACACATCCCATGTCATATCAAAGCTCTTACCCACAATGGCAGGTCACCACTTTTGCAACAGGGCTCAGCCTGGCTGCCAGCGCCAGCACTGCAGGGGCAGTGTCACCATGGTGGGGGGACAAGACACTCACCTTGGAATGGGCCACCTCACGTCCCCCAAAGGTATCAGCAAGCATCCCTGCACTCAAATAGGTGAATCTGGACCACTTTACACTGTCCCACATCCAGTCCATGATCCATCAGAACTGGATTTGGAGAGATTTTTAGAGCAGGGTTTATGTGTTTTCTTGCAGGGAAGAAAAGACAGCTGCAAGCTCTGCCCTTCCTAGCCATTCTCTCCACACCAGAATTAATGAGTTATTATTGCTTTTTATCTTTTTAATCAAAATAAAATCCCTTCCATTAGCTCAAATCCTCCCATCAGATTAGGCCATTTGGCAGCTCCGTTTAGTCAAATCTCGCCTCTTAAAGATTCAGTGCATGCACTTGGGAAATAAGAAAATGGCCAATTTGAAAATAAAAGGAGATTAGCCCAGAAAATAAATTTTGCAGAAGGACACAGAGAAATGCCCCTGGCTGGAGGACCTGTTGGAGTAAGGATCACGCAGCCTGGCACCAGCAACACTAGGGTACTTGTGGGAGCTGGGGAGCACAAAGCTGGTTTTGCTGCAGCCTGGTCTGTCTGCTCTGCTCACATCGATCCAAGCAGTTCCTCATTGACAGGGCAAGCAGGTGACACCACAACCCACTGTCTGGTTTAATTTCATCTTGCTCAAGGAAGAGCTTCAGTCCAAGCCCCCTCCCACCCAGGGCTTCTCCTACCTCCGTGGAGGAGCACTCCGGTTCCTCAGTTCACTCTTCACAGAGTTTACCTCTCCAGCTTTCTGCAGGTACATGGAGGGGTAATAACCCGTGGTTTCATCCTTCCTGCAGTGCAACACAAAGCAACATCACTTGCAGTCGTGGCTGTGCAACTGCCTCCTCAGTCCGGGAGAGAGACTTGATGATCCTTGTGGGTGTCAAAGAATCCCAGGATGGTTTGGCTTGGAAGCAACCTTAAAGATCATCTTGTTCCAACTCCCTGCCATGGGCAGGGACACCTTCCATTAGAGCAGGTTGTTCCAAGCCCCATTCAACCTGGCCTTGAACACCTCCTGCTTAGGATATCCCATGATTCATGGTTCATGCCTGTCCCCTGCTGGTGTCCTGTGGGTTACCTTTCATGTTCCTTGCAGATGAGATGAAAGTTGAGATTTTGCAAAGCAAAATGTGCCAGACCAATTAGAGGCAAAATAACTAACAATTTTTTTTCCCATCTGCCTCCTTCTTGGATATTTCTGAAGTCCCCAACAGAGGGGACATTTAATATTTGGCAAAGAACAGACTCTGAGAAGCAGCCCTGCAAAAGGAAGTGCTGGGCAGTGGCACCAAACAGCCCATGGCTTCCACAGCCCTGATGTGGAGAACCATGGGTGCAACCCTTCCCTCTGCCTGAATCCTGCTCACCTGACCTGTTCTTGGCATCTCTCACCTGATGACCCACCAGCCATCAAGGAGCTTGTGGATGACTTCAATTGTATCACCCTCCTTGAGGGTCAGCTCATCCTCTTCCACAGCTGAGTAGCTTTTCTGGACCACATACGACTCACCTGCACACAAAATGGGGATGGCAGATCATATGCTGCCCCCCCTGGGATGGAGCTCAACCTCCCCAGCCACTGAGAAGAGAGGAGACACCAGAACATTTACCCTACATTTTAGGCAAGACCCAGGGTGCTTCAAGTTTGGATTCAGACTTTCCCCAGCCTTGTCACTGCCCATGGCTCATCCCAGCCCCTCCATCACCTCTCCAGAAGAAAGCTGCTGGGTGCAAGCAGTGGAAGCACAACTATCTCTGCTGGAAAGTGTGTTCAGAATTCAATTGATGAAATGAGGCAGAAGGAAGTGTTGTGGTAATAAAGCCTGTTGCAGTGTTGTAAAACCCCTGAAGCTGAAGCCTGGTGAGCAATCAGCACAAGTCTGTGGGATCCTCCCTCTGCTCCGTGCAATAAGGCCCCATTGTCATGGCAGGGTGACATGGGGGGCACTGTGCTCCTCTGCTAACCCAGCACTTCAGTATTCACCCAGCCACCTCAGCACGGCCACTGGATCAAGATGAGCATCTGTGATCAGCCAAAACACATGTCTAATGCTGAGCTGCAGGTCATGGGAAGCTCCCAAGGTTGACATTGAGGCACCAAATCATGAGATTTATCCCTTCTGGCAGTTCCTACAGCAGCATCTCCCTGCCCAGTGATCCTGCTCAGTGCGGATTGCCCAGTCTTGCAGTGAGCCATCCCAGTGGGGAGCTGCACTGATGCATACCCTGGTCACCCCAGCATTTTACCTGCATAGTTGGGCTCCTGTTCTTCAGACTCATCAGGACCATCCATCGGCTCCAGATAGGCAGCAGGCACCCAGCCCCGTTTATTCTTCAACTGGCAAAACCACCAGCCTGCAAGGAAAGTAGCCATGGACATGAACAGAGAATACTGTGGGGGCACCATGGGGACACTAGCACTGAGTCTGTCCTGGCTGGGGCAGGTGCAGACATCCACATGTCCTGGACTGAAGGGACAGTGCTGGGGCTGGTCTCTGTTGACATGGTGCAACCAGAGGGCTTGACCAGTTCATCATGTTCCTGCTGGGCAGGAAACCTCACAGGCTGAGGCACATCAGGAAGTTGCACCGTTTTCTAGAATTGCCCCTCACCCTTCAGCCTGTGCACTGTCATAACTGACTCACATGCTGCGTTTGGACTCAAGATGCAAGGGCAGTCCTCATCCCTGCTGAAATGGTGGCAGGGAGGGGGCTGGCCCTCGGGGCTCTTCCAAGGGATGGACACATACCATTCTCGCTCTTCTCCACGACATCCACCATGTCCCCAGCTTTTAGAGCCATCTCGGACGTGGAGCTCTTCTCATAGTCAGCGATGGCTCGATAGGTTTGCAGGACGATGGGGCCTGTGATGTCTGCATGGGAGAAGTGAGAGATGTTCCCTCTCCCAGCACCCAGCAGAGAAACACCCTATTTCAGGCAGGCCAGAAGCAGCCCCAGGACAGCCCAAAGTGCCCTCCCAGCCTCTTCCTTCCCCAAAGCAGGTGGATCTCAGGACAGTGACTCATTCCCCCTGAGGCTTTGGCTTCCCCCCAGCTGAAGCTCTGGCACAAAGACCATGCTCTTGATGAGCATATCCGCTGTGGGATGGCAGCCCCTCTCCCAAATGGCCTTTGCTGCTACCACGGTAGCTGCTTGCACCCCTCTGAGGCCTCTTACCAGTAAGGCTTTGCTTGGAATCCTTTGGCAGGAGGAAGACCTCAGGCTTCTTGATCCTAGACAGGTCAGAGCAAAGGCAGCTCAATGCCAACTACCCCTATCCATCAGCAGCGATGTCCTCCCTGTGGGCTACTGCCAGCACCCAAAGGCCAGGGACACAGGATTTCCCTCAAACTAGCAGGCAGCTGGACTCACTGGCTGTCCGTGACAGGGTTCATGTCATCATGGCGGACCTTGAAGAAGCTGACCACATGCAGGCATCGAGAGATCTTGTGGGGCAGGTTGACCAGTGTGTAGCAGTACTCGGCCAGCGTGCCCTGCCTGTTCTCAGTCGAGCGCTGCCCATCAAACCACTTTGGGGCTGAGGAAGAGGGAAAAGGGCTCAGAAAAAGCAGACAGAGAGCCTTGGTTTTAATATGTTCCCAAGCAGGCTGCTCTGAATCATTAATTTTGCCCTGCAAACAAGTGGGTTTGGCCCCAGGGTGCTGCATGGTTCCATGGTGTCCATAATGTGAAGCTCTGGGGGAGCACAGCTCATGCAAGCTCAGAAAAGACCCTGTTTGACCCCATTTCAGCTTCAGGATAATTCCCACATGTGTGTTCAGACTAAGCCCAGCTGCTGGCCCACAAATACAGCAGCTGCATTGGGGCACCAAGAGGGGGAGCCTGTGACCAGAGGACACTTATGCTTATGCTTATCCCCCTGTCCCACTGGCCATGGTGCTCTTGACCCCAGAGCTCCAAAATGTCACTGGCAGCTCCAACCCCCAGCAATGCTGAACTGCATAACAGGGGGTGCATGTGTGTGGTTGGTGGCACCCCCACGCCCCACCCCCCCACCCCGCCCCAGCAGTCTGACACCTGCCTAGTCCCCCGTGCTCTCAGTTCCCCAAGCGGAACAAGGACACTTTGAACAGCCCGAGCATGGTGGGGGCGGTGCATAGGAACAAGCCCAGCATGCCAGTGTTAGTCCAGCCCCAATGGAGCCGCCTCCCAAATGTGCCACCCTGCATAGTGCAGGCTTATTCCTCCTTGATAGGTGTCAACCACAATCTGTACTTCTTTCTCAGGCTCTCTCCTGCCTCCTTTAAAGCAGAAAATTAATTAAAAGGGGGAAGTTTGTTGACCTGCACCTTGCCTGGGGACAAAGCGTCAGCTGTTTGGATCAGGAGTTCATTCCCTGTCATTGAAGAGATATTGCATAGCTTACAAAGTATCTGTGTTGCCATACGGGCATTAAACCAACCCCAGTGATGGTGTCACCAAAGGAGGGCTCCGCTCAGCTCAGCTCAGCTCAGCTCAGCTCAGCCTCCCCAAAGCCAGGGGTCACAGCTGATGCTTCAGGACATGCCCAGCCTTCAGAAAGGAGTCTGTGGTGCTGCTGAGTGGGAAGGAACCACTGCCACTGCTCAGATCTTTCCAGGGTTTAGATTTCAAGCTTGGTGGGCAGGAATGATCAGACCACGCATCTGCCTGGGAAGCAGCCAGAACAGCTTGACCCACCAGGGAATTTCCCAACCTGCTGCAATTTCTATTTCACCCTCCAGCCCCGGTGCTTGCCCCTCACCTGGCAAGTGTGGGATGATCCGGTTCTCTGTGTTGATATCCCCGGATTCAATGGGGAACATCTCCTTCAGCACTTTCTGCAGGTAGAGCCAGGCATGGCCGTGAGGATGGCACCAGGGGAACCCCCTTTAACACCCACCCTCCTGCCCACAGCTTGCCCCCCTTCTTGATGCTCGCTCTGCTGCCACTAGGATGTGCTGGCTGGATCCCACACTTCAGCACTGGGAGAAACCTGCCCAGGGACACAGATGACTCCCACCTTTAAAGGGGCAAAAGAGATTGAAGGACTGGACACAGAAGCTTCTTTGGAGCCAGGTTTGCTTTGGGGCAATTTCAGATGGAATTCACCCTCCTCTTTTCCCCACCTTGAGCCCTGGTATGCTGGGCCAGGGGACAGTGCCTGTCCTGCAAGGACTCACATGGAACTCGTATATCTCAGTAAAGCGGCGGTAGACAACCTTTTCGGATAGGTCATTCCACTTCACCAGGAACATGTAGACCTGAAGGGCAAAGCAGAGGTTGAAGCTCTGCAGGTGAGTGGGACCCCACACTGTGCTGTGCCTGGGGAGCCCCACAAATGTTCCAGTTTCAGATAAACTGTGTTTTCCTTCCACCACCCCATGCAAATAGCTCTGCCTTGTCATCGAGCAAGTTGGGCACTAAGGAACTCAGCATGGATGGAGAGGGGACAGAAACATCCGGATGGGTGGCAGTCAAAGAGGAAAAAGTGCTTTCCAAGCCTGTGAAGTAACCAACACCTTGCAAAGGAGGTGCCCAAAATCTTGTGTGTTTAGGACATTTTAGTCTCTGATTGCCTCCAGCTCATGCCATCATCCATGACCCCTCCAAAAAGGATGTTCTTAGGCCCTCGGTCACATTTATCTCAGGAAATTTGCTGGGCAGGCTTTTTACCCCGCCCAGTCCTCGCTCTTCACTTGCTGGAAGGTTGCTGTGTACTCACATAGTGCTGGCTGGGGAAAAACCTTTTCTCGTAGCCCAGCAGCTCGATGTGCCGGATGAAGGCGTCCCCCATTGCTGCTCCTGCCCGCGGCGTCCTGCTCCGGACCCTGCTTCTGCCTCTCCGAGTGTCTGGGCACTCTCTCCTTTCCTCTCCTCTCCTCCCCTCTGCCCTCGCACAGCTCTGCTTCGCCGTTAAAGCGCTGGGGAAGTGGAACTTGGGCTGCAATCACACCCGTAATTGTTTACCCACTGTGGTTTGTACTGAGTCGGTGCTTCCCATGGTGAGTTCCCAGCCCAGCCCCTCCGGTGGCTCCAGGAAGAGGGAGGAGGCAGGGTGGGAGGCCTCACGGTATCCTGGAAGCACCTCTGGAATCAGAGGACAGTGAAGGGCGAGGGCCAGGCTGGCTGCCCTGATATCCAAGTGACCCTCTGACTTCTCATCCTGCCCTGTGATGGCACAGGGTGCTGCAGCAGAGGGTCAAGGACAGACAGGCGCCTTGGCAATGGCAGCCAGAGGAGCCTTTTTCATCTCTAGCAGAGGTGGAAGGGCTGAACGAAGTGTGTTAAAGCACTCCCTGAGCCCAGGGATGGCAGCACCATTCTCTGTAGGGCAGGTAGGGAAGCTGGGACAGAGCCCAGGCAGGATGGGGCAGCTACGGGCTGTGTGCAAGAGCTCCTGCCCTTGCATCACCATTTCCTTTCAGTTACCTGCAGCTTCCTCAAAATCTGCCACCGAAAGGCTGCCTTGAGCAGCCCTCGAGGACCTGAGCCAGTCCCAGCCCTGCTCACCTCCTTACCTGAGCATAAGGCCGAACAGGAGGGGACCCCAGGCATAGAGAAACACCAGGGTGGGCTGGAGACAGACCCCTACCTCCCACTGGGAGAGCAGGAGGGTCCCTTGCTAAGACACTCTGATATGCCAGCACATAATCTGCATCTACCTCCTCCTTCTCCCTCCCCAGTCCTGAGCAGAAAGACCTGAATGGATGTGAGATCTGCATGGATCAATCCTACACAGCTTGCAGGCAAAAGTGCACCCAGGATTACAACGGGCACCAGTGCAAGGTAGTCCCCTGACAGAGGCAGGACCTGCTCTTCACAGGGTGCTCAGAGGAGCCCAGCTCCAGCCAGCCGTGAGCCCTCGGCCCCATCCCTGATTCCCGGTGCTCCATCTCCTGTGAGAGCCCATGCCTGGGTGCAGCTCTTGTCCCTGGCAGGCCAGCACATTACCATGAGCTAAGCATCAAGCAAACCCAGCCCCACTCTCAGCCGGGAGCAGAGATGTTTTGGGCAATGATGCAGCACCGCTGTTGCCCAATCCTGGCAGGCAACAGCCCCAAACCATGGTGGAGCTGGGGCTCTCCTCACTGACCAGCCCTGCCACTTGGCAAGCCCTGCCACAGGATCAGCCCGGTGCCCTTATTAGCTGTAAAGACAAAAGCTTGCTCTGTCTGCATTAAAAACATCAAATACTAACCATAACTTCCCCCTGGCCCTTGGGTGTGGTGCTTTGCATCTGTGGAGTTCAGAAACATGGTTATTTACATTTGGCTTCTTATTATTTTAACATGGGGACTTCCCTGTATGCAAGGCAAAATTATACAACCACAGATATTAAAAAAGGTCCCTCCAGGGCTGTTTGGATTCTGCTCTGTTAGTCACCAGATAGCTGCTGCTTATGGAGAACACCACAAACTGTCATGAAAGCTTATTTCTAAATTTAAAACTCTGTTACAGACAGTACATTACTGGAAACCACGCAATTCACGTTTCTTCCTGTTTCATCATTCCTTATCTTGTGATGTGAGAAATGAAACAGAGATTGTAAATGCCAGTGATGGGTTAGTTCACAGGAAGACACCACCTGTAACTCAGTGTTCAAAATGTAATTTTTTATTTTTGGTAGTTTAAATTTCAGCTTAATTCAATACAGAGCCAAGGGAGGCCTTGCTTACGTCACTGATGGCAGACAGCTGTTACACAATCACAGAAACGAGAGCCTGCCCTCTTCCTTGACAGTGGGTCTCTGACAGGACAGATACAGAAAGAAACAAAGGAGAAAAGGTTCAAGTTTTGTATGTGGAAAACTTTAATTCCCAAGGGAAAAACACTGGCCAGCAGCTGCACCACAGAGGTGCTGGACTTAAACTGGTTGTTACGCTGTGAGAAAAGCCAGGGTGCCGTAACCGAGAAATGCCCAGTTTCACCATGGACATCCTGGATACTGCACTACTTGGATCCAAAATTCCCATTTAAGAGAAAGGAGCCAGCCCACTGCACAGGACAGGCTTTTAAAATTCAGTAAAACATAGGGAATAAATACTTGTCTCCTTCCTTGTCAACACAAACCTTTCATGCTGTAACAAAAACTAGTCAGAGGTCTGGTAAGTGGTTGCAATTTTATTTATTTGTTTGTTTATTAGTACAACCAGGGTTTTTTAGGGCATTATCACTCAACACCTAAAGAGTGACATATCTCATGTGTTTGAAAATGAGTGAGATTTTCACAGTCATCATCTTAAAAGTCTGCTGTTAGGATTAGAGGTAGGTAATTTCTTAATATAAAATTGATATTTGGAAGGTATAAATATTGGTGCAATTATTTTGTCAGTCTAATTTACCTCTACCGGATGTAACTCAAAATGTCTGAGACCAAAATGAGCCTTCAGCGTTGAGTACCAACACACCCATCAGCATTACTGCACGCCCAGCAGCAGGACACACATGATGCACACCACCACTCCAACTCCCAGCATCACATAAGGACTCTAATCCTTCCAGTAAAACCACTGGATCCCCTTTCACTTAATTTTTTTTTCAGGTCCTGCATACAAAGTTGTAGGAGGACCACTCTGCTATTATACACTTGACAAGGCAATATCCTGGAATTATTTATTTTCCCAGTTCCTTTGCTGTGATACCTTGCCCTCATTTTGAGTAAACACTTGAAACTCCATCAGCAATAGACAGCCTTGCTCTGCAGGCAGCTGTGCAAAACGTGCCTCCTAAAGAGGGCTGTGTGTGAAGCAGGGATGGACTGTCCTTCTGCTTTTTCAGAAGGGGAAGTCGAGCCAGCCAAAACCCAGAGAAAGCTGCATTAGCTCATTTCTTCATTCTGAACATGTCCAGCAGCAAGTGCGAAACTTGATCCTGACCTATTGCTGCAGTTTCATTAACTGAGCCTGTCTGAGTCATCAGCAGGCAAATGTGTTAGTGGTTATAATGTGGAGAGTATCCATAGGCTGGGTTAGCAGACAAGGTGCACCAACGGGCTCGTTCCATGGGGCTGGGAGGGGCTGTCTGCTGAGGCAGGAAGGCAGCTCGGCACTAGTCACCACCAGCTGGAGAGCAGGAAGGTCGGACAGGATGTGTGTTTTCAAAATGCCTCAGCACAAAGCCAACCTTGCCCCCTGCTGACATCACCAGCACAAGGTCTCAGAATTGAGTGGGAGCACCTAGATCTGCATGGAGCAATTGTGAAAACACAAGCATGTGCTGCTCTGAATTTATCTGCTGCATTTCAGATTTCTTCCAGGGAATAGACACTCTACTCAAACGAATTTAAGGCTCCAAAATTTTCCTTGAAGATACAACCACCTCACCCACCCAGAGCTGGATTTCTATCTCAAAGGCATGACAGGACCTTACCTCTTTGCTGGAAGGAAGTAACTGTGCTGCAGCATGTTCTACCTGCCTACAGAATTATTGCTAGGACTTGTTGTAAAATACATAAATGTATACTGCACGGACAGTCATGAAAACCATCAGGAAAGTCTTTATTTCTTCATCAGGGAATAAAGTTTACCATTTGTGCATAAAATGCAGTCATCCTAAGCTCATTCCAGTAAAAGAGAAACCTTTAGAATAACTTGCATCTTTAGAGATTATCATACAGCCAGAATTGTACATGTCTTATGGCTTGTGAAACTTTAAAAAAAAAAAAAGCACATTAGTCTCTTACATGATGTGGGGCGTAACCAGGACTACAGGGGACTTCGACTGATTGTTGTAGTCACAGAATCACAGAATATCCTGAGCTTTTGACATAGTAGGACTTAGAGCAGCTTGTAGCATGTTTCCATAACTAGTTCTAGATGAACAGAAAGGCATCCCCACAGCCTTCAGAAAAGCTCTCACACAGATCCACAGGACTATTGCCTACAGTAGGACTGCAAGACCAAATCCATCATATATAAACTTGTGATACTCTGATAAAACATGCACTTACTACTTTTAATTAATGGAAGAAACTATAACAAGGTTTAACACTGAAATACTGACCATTTCACAGTCCATCTCATTAATGAGTACTAATCATCAAATGAACCAGTTTATCTTTTATTTAGGAAAAACATATAAATTGTGACAGGTATGACAGGAAAAATTAGTTCAAATATGCAGATACTATTGTCCAATCAACCATTAAAATAGTAACTGAAAATGAATGATTTTTTTTCTTCCAAAGTAAAAAAAGTGAACTCTTTACAGAAATTTTTCCTCATTAAAAAAGCTGAGATGCATTCAGGTATGGTGAAATTTAGCTGTATTGGGAATGTAGACAGCCTCAGCTAAGTCCATAATCATTTTAATCCCTATCATCTCCCCAGCATTGCTGCATCGTATTTAGTCCTTAAAATATACTCCAAACTAAAACCAGCCATTCCAAATCTACAGTCATTTTTTGCTTTAAGTCAATTCACAGAACTGCTGAAAAAGTACACATTTATATTTAAAAATACAAAAGGGTTTGTATAGAAGGTATTTCTCTTATACAAAAGGGTTTGAATTGAAGATACTTTTCGTATACAGTTATATTACACAGCTCTAGACAGGCCCAGCAGGCTCTTCTCAGAACCGGATGCTTCTGACAAGGTAAGAAAAGTTACAAAAGTGAGTTAGTTTCATTGCAGCTTTGGATCTTATTACAACTATGAGCAGTTTGTATTGCATTGTCCAGTACTTTAGGCCTAGATTCCGCAAGCACGCAGAAGCTGAGTATTGCTCTCAATAAATGTGAGATTAAATGTGTGTGAGTGGCCTCTGTAAGAATTTAGAACAAATATTTACTTTAGTACAAATTCAGTGGATGGCCTAAAGCATCTAAAATCCAAACCACTGCAGCATCAAATTGTGTAGCCATTGCTCAGACAATATTTCTGTGACCTTTAATGGACAAGTGGGAGGGTTTTATATATCTCACTGACTGCAGTGCTTCCCATGACAAATCAGAAGTTTTTCTTTAGTATATTTTCTCCTGCCACATTCAGTTTTATGACAAATATCCACAAAGCAGACTTTACTGATTCAATAAGACCACCATTGCTGTGCCTGAAATGCTCAGGGCATAGACAATTGGGATGCTGATTTGTCAGTGCCTGCCACTTTCTACCACATCATTTCATTGTCCCAATGCCACCAGCAGCCTTTCATGTCCCAGGCTGTGTTCATGCTGCATGGATGGAGGGCCATGGCCAAGGCTGTCCCTGGTCTCCAAAAAGCTGGATGGTGCCAGGAGTAAAACCCAGGCTTCCCCAGCCACTGCTTCATCTAACTTTATGTTAGATGAAATCTAACAAATTGCTGAAGTATCAGCAATCAAATCAAATTGATGAAGTATCAAATACCACACTATGAGGGAAATATCTGGTTTCAAGTATTATCAAAAAACTGAAATGGGAAGAAGTACTACCATTTTCTCTGAATGAAGCACAGAGACTCAAAAACATGTGGGTCAGCATTTTAAACTCAGTGATGGAACAGCATCACTATCACTGTTCTCCATCACCACAAAAATGTCATTTTTAGGAATAAGTGACATTAAAAATAGTGTAAGAGACGGACTTGAACATTTTGGCACTGTAAATTAAACTAAGCTTTTTATAAGTTAATGCAAAAGAAAGAAAACTTCTAAAGGAGATCTGTTTGTCATCAAAGCTAATAGCTTTACTGAGTGTCCCAAGCTCAGACAATACTGCAAAAATAGTGAAGAGCTTTTCTGTTCAATTACGATTTGGAAATATATGGGTGTTACCAAGAACAATAATGCTCTTTCACACAACCATGTCAGAGCTCTTCATAAACACTAATTCCCTCAGCTTTCAGTTGCTCTGCCTCCCAGGTACATAATTATTACACATTTTTATTTTTAGGTCACATTTTCCTAGGACTGACTGTCTCTGAAATTTGAACAGTGTGCTTTACACTGTATTTGGATAAGAAAGTGAAAACATCCTACACTTCATATGTGAGAACTGGGACAGATAAAATAATTCACAAGAAAAGGACTGGCACCTTCTGACATTGAGTATTGTACCCTCTCCTCCCCAAAAATATAAGAATACTATTCCTTGACAGGCGCTGCCTTCGCAAAACACTAAATTCTTTTACCTGGTATTGGTGATGTCTACGACATTAGGTGTGGTTCTTGCTTTATTGGGTGTGGTTCTTGTTTTATTTGAGAATTTTCTTCTTTTTCTGTGTTATCTGTTGAAAAAGCAGTAATGAATGAAGAAAAGGGGAACTTCCCCACCAATTTTGTGGTTGTACTTAACAAGGAAAACTTTATGAAAGTATGAAAAGCATTAATTATCCCTTTAAACTATTAATGATAAATAAAAATGTATTCACAGCAATCTGACTCTAGAAATTACCATTTCCACTTCAATGTAAAGCAGCCTAGGATCTTAGAGAACTCTAGTTTTTAAATAACAGAAATACAATGGCATTAGTAGGACTTCTCTCAATTAGAAACAGACTTATGCATTTTTCTATTTCAATCTGTCCAAAACAAATTCTGGCCTTAGCTAATTTTCTTCTTCAAAGAACAGTATTCCACGGGAAGGTATTATGGTATGTTTAAAAAACCCCTCCCAAATTTTATCTTGTTGACTAAAGCATTTATCATCTTTTGATACAGGTTTTTCATTTCAGGGACGCTCTGAAGTAACTCAAAAGAATCTTGTACCTGTATAGCACTGGATATGTGACCTGGACCCTGATTCTGTTCTTTTAATAACAGAGAATATGATGTTGGAAGGAAATTGTTTTTTCCCTGAAGTTGTTTGGAAGGTTTGGGGTGAGGATAATTCATCACTACAAAGCCAAGCTGTTTCACCACATAATCATTTTATACCTTCCAGCCTAGTTCTGAAGTGATTTTGAGTTCTTTACCAATCATATGCCTTTTCACAAAAATATTTCTCTAGTTACAGGGTCTGAATCCAGTTTTGGGTGACAAGTTCAAAAAACACCCTTGTCTGTCTCTTCCAAACTATCATTTCGAAGGCCCACAGCTAGAATTCCTCCACATGACAGTATTCAGGAATAACTGTCCTTCTCCCTCATCATCTAACTTTGGCGATCCCACAGAGTTTTGGCATTATTAAGTCATCTGATGTTCCAGCTTTCAGTAACTGTGAGCTTAAAATCTGCAGCTCAGCTCTGCTGTGACTCTAATGCTTGCCTTCCTTCTGTCTTGACTGCTGCAAACTGACTTAAAACCCTCGGAGTGAACCTGTAACTGAGCTTGTAACAGTCATTCTGGTTGAGCATGTTGGCTTGGCTCAGAGTTCAGTGACATGACAGGGAAACTGAAGCAATGGAGACTGGAAAGGGCATTTCCATGGAAAAGGGTACAGAAGAACAGGAGTGCTGAGGTTTGCTGCTTTCTTTTTTGGGGCCACATAAGCAGGATTAGGGAATGAATTGAAGTTGAGAGTCTTAAAGTGCTGATGCACAGCAGGCTCCGTCCCAGGGCTGTTGGCTATGTTGCCATCAAGCTGCCATGGACACATCAGAGAGCCCCTCTCAGGGCCACCTGACATGAAGGCAGCACCCTGGCAAACTACCACAGCACCTCAGATCCTCTGTGCCAGCCACAGTAGAGGGAGGCATGGCCATCCAGGGCCATGCCTGACAGACTGGGGTATAGCAAAGGCAGCATTTACAGGAGCAGAGCACACAGCAGACACCAGCATCCCAACTCTCATGTCAATTCTGTATTCCTGAAGACCACATGCAAAAGCACAGGGGGGGATACAAAATCTACAGCCTTCTTAGTCTCACATATATAAACATATTAGGAAACATTTTTTCACCAAAAGGGTTGTCAAGCTCTCCAACAGGCTGCCCAGGGAAGTGGTGGAGTCACCGTCCCTGGAGGGATTTATAAGCCATGTGGATGTGGCACTTGAGGAGATGGTTTAGTGGTGGGCTTGGCAGTGCTGGGGGAACAGCTGGATTTGATGTTCTTAGATGGCTTTTCTGACCTAAATGATTCTATGGTTCTATCTGAAAAAGAAACAACCCAAGTATATTCTTGGACAATAGGAAAGCTGGATGTTTTTCAGAGCTTAAGTTCTGGAAGAACAACAATATTCTCCTGCCTTGCCCTCAACATGGTATATCAATACGGCATTCAGAGTTCCTGATGATGGCAATCACTCACTTGCATCAATTGTGGAAACTACTGCACTGAATAATTAGATGCATCACTCAGGATATGAACAATCACTCAGAGCCTATCTATCGTCATGACTCAAGTGAACAACAGTTCATAAAACTCCTTTGTAAAATTACTTGAATAATAACATTTGCACAGAGTATTTTTCCCATGATGCAGCATGATATTAACATAGATGAAAAAATGTCCTGGAAACCAATAAAAGACCCAACTTCAAAAAAAAAGGTAAACTTTGTTCAACATTACTTAAAAATATTTGTTAATAATAACTGAAGAACACTTACCTCCTAGAGATACTTCTATTCCGCTTGTTTCAGTTGGCTCTTAAATGAAAAAAATACAGTCAAATGAATATGAATATAGTTTCAACATGATGAATCAGATTAGGGAAATTAAGTTTTCCCAGAAAAAAAGCAACTAATTTTTGTTTTAACAATCAGACTTGTATCTTTTTGTCTGAGATAAATTTGTGTAACTTTCTACAGTCTGCAGCAAATTATAAACAGTCCCAAACATTTATTACATTCAACTACCTAACACTTTCTCTTCAAAGAATGGTTTACCTTGACAGACATACCACCAAGTTGCAGCACAATGTAATGTGCAGTTGCATAGAATACACCCTGTTCAGAGCAGCTTGAAAAAAAGAGTCATCAGTCCTGATGAACACTGTCTTTGATGGTGAGTATTAGGGGAGAGTGGGAAAATGCAGAATACAGGACAAGAAGTATGTTTTAATTCCACGATGAGTTTTCTATTATCTCTGCATGGTTTATAAATGAACAGGTTCTGGGAAAGCCATTTAACCTTTTTAACACTGCAGCTGAGTAAAGGACAGACAGACTACATCAACCTCATAGACCATCAGCAGCTGATTTCCTCCCTCCCACACCCTCACATATAAAAAGATGGGCCAGTAGTTTCCTTTATAATAATTTTCATCATACAAGTGTCCCTTACTCTTAAAACGTTTACATAATGTTTTCTCTTCGTTTCCCAACTTCTTCCTGTAATGGTTTATTCAGTCAATTGCAAAAGTTTTTCCCACACTATACCAACTTGGGATACACATTTTTAAAAGGTCTGTGAACATTTAGAAGCTATACTGGATCAAAATGAAGTTGTTCAACCACGTTTACTCCAGTTATTAATAGCACAAAGCTGAGTTCTCCCTTCGGACTAAGACAGGTGATATGTGTGCAGTCCAGACACAGTCTAGCAGGAGTTACAGGTCTGCAGCAGGCAGAAATTCCATCCAGACCCCATTGCCAGTTATGCAGGCAAACTTCACTTGACTGAACATCTATTTGGTTCACACATGCACACATTTGAGTTAAGAAGACATTAATAAATGGATACCGAATTGGCTTTATATATTGCCCCCACTAATCCTTCTTTTCAGCTCACTCATCATCTGCAAAAATCAAATCAAGGAACATACCAATGACAAAGCTCGAAGAAAGTAGAGGCTCTTCCCATTAAATTATTAATATTTAACAGCTACAAAAGTCCCTGTTGCACACAATCTATCAAAATGATATGGCTCATCATGAGCAGTGTATACCCAGGACTTGACTATTAATGTCATCTGCCAATGAGCTGGAGAACTCCATAACCCACCCCTCCTGCAAGGACATACGTCATGCTCTGCATCACCTGGTAGTCCTGGGGCTGCTGCTGTTGGTGATGCTTCTGCTTCAGCTTTTTCCATCAGATCTAAGATTAGACATGATCACCGTTTAACTTCACAACGAAAATGGTTCACACGTAACACAAGGGCAACCTTTGAATCTGCAAATCCTGAAACTTGTCACATGAACAAGTTACTAACACTTGTGATTGAGCTGCTGTTCAGTATATTCTGTTACAGAAAAAAACGTTCCCTATTTCACCTGCAAGCATCAAAAATTTCAAGTTTCCACACGTTCTTCATATGAAGAATAAAGCATCATACCTATAAGCAGTAGGCTCAGAGCCTTTCATTCACCTTGGTATCCATCAGTATAAGATCATTTTGATCATAATTAGTGGACACAGATAATGCTCAAACCCCATACGGTCAATGACCAGCCTGCTCCCCCAGCCCCAGCACATGCTGACAAATTGGCCATGGCACTTCAGCTAAGTACATTTGTCTCTCTAAACAGTTACTGTTTCAGCAGAATGCAAAATTTTTCACTGGAACAGGGTTGTGCAGCTACTGTAAAGTTCTTGCTTACTAACAGCTACTGTGATGGATCTAAACGTGTAAGTCTGTTGCTAGGTCAGGATCCTAAATCTCTTTGGTACTCTGCAGCTGAAAAATACAAACTCAGTGTCTTGCATTTTCATATGAAAGTTATGCTGATCTTACGCTGTTTAAATGTAAATTTACCCCCATGCCCTCAAGTTAACTGTATATGCATGATTAGTCAGAAAATCTTAATAAGAAAGACACAGACAGTTATACTGAGACCTTAATGACTATGGAGCCTCTGCCACTAAGCCAAAATGTAGAAAATTAATCTTGGTAGGTTACGAAAATACATTTGTCATCAGTGTCTCATAAATACTTACGATTGTTAATCACAAGTCCTGGAAATGGTCTGAAAAAAAAAACCAAATTACTGATTCTAAAAGGCACTGCATGGGGTGTCCTCCCAGTGCAACCTCCCCACACTTTCTGTAACAGAAGTCATGCTAAAAGTAAAAAACAAAGTCAAATAAAACAGATGGAATAGCAGCTCTTGGGCGCTGTGGTTGTTCAAAACTAGTGTTTTGAAAAGTAACACACAAAGGAAGAGCTAAACCTTTCCCTTGATCACCACTAGTTAACAAGGGGTCATCTCTTCTCTAGAGCTTCATTCAACAACACACATCAAAGTACTTTTGGTTAGAACATGTCATGATTAAGGGCTGAGAATTCAGACCCCCTAGTAAAATATATTTAAGAAATTTCTCTCTCTAAAGATAAACCGAAACTTCTAGACTCCTATAAAGTCAACTATGATTTGAGGAGTTACATAAACTGATACATTTTTATTTTCAACTCCTCCTTAGTGCGATTCAAAAGTTTCATCTATTCTGCTTCATGCATACAAATTAACTTTGTATATATGTGTGTTTTATATACATCTATGGAAATATACACATATAAATGAAATTCCGTTATACTGTAATTGGACAATACTGTATTTTAAAATCTTGTAGATACGCTCATTTTGTAGGGAAAAAATTATCAAAGAATTTACCTGAACTCAAGATTCTTAACACAACTGGAATATTTAAAAATACTAATGGTAATACTAATACAAACATACTATTTACTGTTAAGAGCCAACAAGCTCTGGCTCCATTCATGCTAGAAACATCTGGACTTTATTTGACCTGATATATTGTTATCCAAAAGAACCTCACACTATTTAAAGATGCACTGCTACTTCTATTCTCTCACATTTCAATTTATTCCAGCTACAGGGCTGTGCTCACAGCACCCGCACAATCTAATCAACAGCAACTACATACCGAACGACAGTAAACTTGATAAGTTCTGCTGATTCCAAAATCTTCTCCATCGAGCTGATTTCCAGATAACTGGGCGCTTTAAACGCCACGCCGGGAGGCAACCCCTCCACCACCACACACCCAGGGTTGGTAGTGATTTTTCTGTATGGAACTTTCACAGGAAAATTCATACCAGTGGCTTCACCTAAGTGAGAGAGGTCATGTTTATTTTCAAACCTTATAATATTTATGACTACACTGAAGAAAAAAGTCCTCAGATGATTAACAAACACAATGCAAACCCAAGCTTTCTATCAGATCTGAAATTATGAACATTCACTTGACAATGAAACCATTACAGTGTTAGAAATAGAGGTGTTGGATTACATTCATGAACATTAGTCACAATTCCAATTCTGACTGCTCACCATATGAAGAACACAGATTCTGCTTTTACTAAAAAAAAGTATAGAACGCGGTATAAAAGGAAATAACTACATGAAGGAAAACAAAGCATTTCCTGCAAGGCCATGAAAAGCAATTCAACACAGTACAAGTGAAGGAATTTCAGATAAAGAAACTCAGGTCATTACTGCTGTACAATGCAAAGTAAAAAATCCAAACAAAACTATACACAGCAAAAAGCTTACGCTGCATTTTTAAAATTACTGTATTCCCAAGTATTATGAGTTTGGGATTATGAAGCCCTGAGAAGAACCATGCAAAATAAATACTTCATCCATGTTGACACAGAAAGAAACAGGAAAGGGGAGGGGAACCACGAAGCAATCTAGACTCTTATGATTTTATTGTTTAAAACTACCTACATCACTTACAAAAGATTCTTTTCTAAGTCAAAGCACAACATTCATATACAATTCTCAAATTTGTTCATTTTAATGATCACATATATAATTCACTGTAAGTGAATACTCATTCAGTAACTTCAGTATCAACATTTATTACACCCACACCTATGTAAAAACGGGGAGTAAGAAGCAATTACCAAATTTCTGGCTAAAAAGATCATTTACTTGCTCTCTCAATTGTCTGGTCTTTTCTACTTTTGACGGTCGCTCACTGTCATCATCTGGAAGAAATTGATAGAATAGCGTGAGAATTAAGCACAAATTTTTTTACCCCTGAAGCTTGTTTATCCCTGCGTATTTACTTAAAGCAGATACACCTTAAGGCTTCAAAACAGGTGCTGTCTTTGCTCCTCATTTTATCAGTAACACAGAATTGTAGAAATACACAAAAATAGATGGTTATTAAGAAATCACAGAATCCTAGAATGAATTGGTTTAGAAGGGACCTTAAAGCTCATCCAGTTCCACCCCCCTGCCATGGGAAGGGATACCTCCCACTAGAGCACGTTGCTCCAAGCCCCGTCCAACCTGGCATTGGACACTTCTAGGGATAAACCTAGGTTTACTGTCTAGGGATGATTTTGTAAACTTAATCTGAACCAACAAATTGTATTTCATTTTCTTAAAGAACATAAAATGGTGGGGAAAGGTAAAAGCAAAGTGACTATTCAATAAGATGGCCATTTCTCATAGTTTCCAGTGAATTCCAATGGATGTACTATATGCCTGAGAAAGCAGTAATCAGTGTTAAGACCAAGCAGTTCAGTCTGAGAGATTATTCAATTCAGTCTGAGTACTGACCTCTTGAATTTGCCAAGAATTGCAAGTCAGTATTTCATTTATTGCATGAGAAAAATGCGAATACTTCTTAACTAGTTGTTGGACCAAGAATATTCTAAAGATGTGACTGAAGAGATATTAATGAGTGTTAGAAAATATTTAACACCTTAATAAAAACAAAATGCTAAATTATGCTCTTTGTTGACTGTACTTGCATTTCAGTGAACCAGCCGGACAGTAGGAAAAACTTCATCGAACTAAACAAATGTCATGAAGAATATAAGCACAAATAGCATGACATGAAACCAGCCAGTACAGACACTTGGTATAGTTACTTGAATCATGTTCAGGTCTTCAGCACCAGCGGTTGTGTTCACCACTGTGTTTGTTGTGGTTCTTGTTGTATTGGCTACATCAGATGAATTAGTTTTCCGTAAAAGGACTAATTCAGAAAACATTTATAGAGAACTCAAAATTTTCAATCTCTTATATAAAGAAAACATTGCAAAACAACAGATATTGGCAAAGTTTTCAAAGAGAACCCAGTTTCAAAATAGGAGCATTTATTCCATGACCCACCTACCTACCTGACACAATTTTCTACTGGCTATCTGCACGCCCATCTCTTAAGCATTTTTCATTTAGATGACCTACATATTAGGAGCAAATAATTTATCTCTAGACCAGAATTACTCCTGTGAATCATATATTGCTGGCTACATTTTGATAAAAAGCAGTAAAGAATACATCAGACGCATGATTATTGTGAATAACTTTAAGAAATTAATACTCGTGAATAACTTTAAGAAATTAATACTCCCTTGCTAGAGCTATATTTAAACTGTGATTGGTAAGTGCTTTTCCTATCTTAAAAACAATCAATCAAGCAAACGAACCAAACAACTCCAATGTAGAATGAATCTTTCAGGAATTTGTTAACCCCATACAGCTCTTATAATCTGTATTTAATCCTTGAAAGAAACTGTTACATAGAACATGAAGCAGTTGCAAAACTCACTTGAGGGGCTTCTAGCAGAACTTTCTTTAACAGCTGCCTCCAACATCTCAGGCCTGCAAAGAGATTCAACATTTCATGTACAACAATAAAATTACATCATCAACATTAAAGAAAATGCAATTTTCTAGTATTATTTTATTAAAGACAGGAACTAAGTGATATCCTCTCAGCCAAACCGACAGTCAAGAATGCAATGACTTGAGAGGCTCCATAACTTCTTAGAATCACAGAATGGTTTGGGTTGGAGGAGACATTATAGCCCATCCACTTCCACCTCCTGCTATGGGTAAGGACATGTTCCTCTATCCCAGGTTGCTCCAAGCCCCATCCATCTTGGCCTTGGACACTTCCAGGGATGGGGCATCCTCAGCTTCTCTGGGCAACCTGTGCCAGGGCCTCACCACCCTCACAGGGAAAAATTTCTTCTTAATATCCAGTCTAACCCTGCCCTGTCCATTTAAAGCCATTCCTCCTTTTTCTATCACTACATGCCCTTGTAACTTCTCTTGCCACTGTTTCGACACTGGCACATGGCTATCCAAACCTGTTCTAGACAAGAAAATTCTTACACACCCCACTATACGAATCTCCACTTCTCAGCTCTTAGTACACAGCCAGCAAGCTTTATGAGTAACCTGTAAGCGCTCCCTGCAGTAGGAACTAAACCAGTGATGTGATAATTGTAATGAGCTAAGAAATCTGGACTTGTTCTTCCTCTCACAACAGCCTCTAAGAGTCTTTCAGAACAAAGAGAGTATTGTATCTTGCTCTACCTCTACAAGAGCTTTCTGGCCATTTCCTCAATTACTAAATATATTCCAGTGTGTATTTTATAGAGTAATTCAGCAACTTCCCAACACAATTTCATTTTTCAGTCTACATTTCAATACTCATAGAACAGATTACCAAAGACATATGGGAGTCTTACTTTTTAATAATGAATTTTATTTTAGATTTGTTTCTCAGGATCTTCTCTAGTCTTGGAATTCCAAAAGTTGAAGGTTGGCGGAAAGGTACCCCCTCAGGTAGTCCTTCCACGTAGAAAACGTCCGGGAAGGATTCAAACAGTGAAAATGGCACCTTCACCGGTTTACTGAGTCCTAGCGCCTCCCCTGAAACGGAACAGAGCAAATAAGCTACCAGTTAGGTAACTCATGTGTATAGAAACAGAAAACCTCTGGTATAAATGGTATAGCATAGTTGGCACATATATAACTAGATTAGGCAGAACCAGCAGGCTTGCCTTTTTTGGTGACAGCTATGAATAGGCACAAAGAAAATTAACAGTTTCAAACATAACTCATTCTGTTGCAGTAAATCTCATCATGATTTACTGAAAATTAGTAATTGGCAGCCAGTTCATGCCACTGGCTTGGTCTGCATACGAAACTATCCCATATGTATCTCACTTTGTTACAAGCCATGCATTCTGTCTCTGCCTCTTCTAGAGAACAGTACTAAGGGCAGTGAGATTAGTGCTCTTGTTCAAAAACCTGCACTCAGAAGAGTAATCAGAAATCATTACTTCCAAAACTCATTAGTTTCCAAACAGTCTGCACTAGAGGAAGTGCTGGAATATGACAGTGCACGTCTCTCCAGATACGATCCGTAACGCATTGAGTCCTGCAGAGTCATACAAAGTCCCATTCATAAGCAGAGTGAAGAAAGCTTAAAAAGCTGTGTCAGGATGTGGATCACTGTATCTGTGGGTCATTAAAAAATTCATAATCCAACTACAACTTCTCCATTTCCAAATCCAAATAAAATAACTAGTGGAAATGAGACACAGGATTGCAAGCAAGTACACGAGAATGAACGCAGATGGGAAACTCTGTAGGGCACACAAGAATTGCAGGACCTCTGGAATAAACGTGAACATCTCTCATACATCTAACTGCATGTTCATAAGATAGGCTTCTCAGTAAAAAAGAATCAATAAACTTACCACATTTTTCATTAAAAAGATCTTCGACTCTCTGCTTTAAGTCACTAATTTTGGCATTCCATGCCTCTGCCAGGAGGAAATTGAAAGAATTAAATCAATGCTCACACAATGAATCAGTCTTCAAAGAATATTTTAAAAAATGCTTAATAAATTATTACGTTTGATAACTGATTTACTATGGCAGTAAAATGTGCAAAATGGCTTTCATTCTGCAAAACTATATTCACATCAATCCTCATTTTCCTGAAGCTTTGAAAGATACTGCTATGAGATAAAGCAAGGGCTATTAAAATTAATCCAAGAGTGATCTAAATTTACAGTATTAGGCAGTATAAAATTTACTCATCTGAACCACCACCCAAAATAGTGGCAGAAAACTATTCACATGTTCAGTGACACAGCTCTGAAATGCACACCTCTCTCCTGAGATCTATAATCTCTAGCCCAGTTTCTACTTCAGTGGGTGAAATCAGATGTCCATCAAGATAAGCATTTTGTTTCTGACAGCCATCAGAGAAATTAGAGTCACAGAATCACAGAATATGCTGAGTTGGAAGGGACTCACAAGGATCATCAAGTCCAAATCCTGGCCCTGCACAGGACTATTCCAAAGAGTCACACAACGTGCCTGAGAGTATCATCCAAATGCTCCTTGAGCTCTGTCAGCCTTGGTGCTGAGAGAGCACTGGGGAGTCTGAAAAGTGCCCAACCATCCTCTGGGGGAAGAACCTTTTTCTAAGATCCAACCTAAATCTCCCCTGACACAACTTCATGCCATTCCCTTGGGTCCTTTTTACTTGTGGCTGCACTAAGTGGTCTATGGCTGGTCTACAAAATTAAAAACTCAGTTTAAAGTTAAAAAAAAAAAAGTCTAGGTCTAGCAATAGCAAGCAAGTCCAAAAAAACTGAACACAGCTCTAAGTATGAATAACACCCATGTCAAAAGGAGCAGTCATTCCAAATCAGTATCTTATATGCATTCTCAACTGGCTCAGTAGGAGTAAAGTATTCCTTTCTTTCACATTTTTTGACCATAATGCTAAAAAGAAAGCATGTGGGACAAAAAAGAAAAAGCAAATAACAACAAACTTTTATATATATATACATATATATATAAAAGTAAGGATGCTGAAAAAAAGGTTTACTGAGACAGAATTGCTTACAGTTACTCTGAGTGCAGTCACTCATCTTATTTGACTACGAAGAATTTATCTGAGTTGCAAATTGATGCTGCTTTCAATACAGAGACTCCTGTGCCAGAGCACTGCACAGACAGGCCTGGGCCTTTAAGCCCCAAAAGCTCCAGCCAACACTCAGGAACACAACTATATGGCTTCCAGTCCTGTCCAGCTCTTCCTTTATTGATTTTACAAACTTGGACTAGGCAGTCATGCATAACTAGCTCTGATAGAGCATGGCTTACCAATGTTAGTTCAAATCCTTCCTGGTTCCTACAGGAATGGTATGCCTCCACAGTGATGTCAATATTTCAGATTTGTTGAGTGCTTATGAAATTTATGCACTATATTAGATCTTAGCTGGGTTTATGCACTTTGGTGGTACTTTGCACCAGAAAAGTCCTTCAAGGGTCTGAAGCATCGTGCAGTAAAGACCAGCAAAATCCTAACGGGCCTGACCAAACCCAAAGATCTAACGGACCTGTGCTGCATTTGTACAGCATTCTCCATACATCATTTAGGATTTTTCTAATACATATTACTAATGCATATTATAATGCAGGGGAGCCTCTGGTGGTCTAGTGGTTAAGGTGCAGGACTCTCACCGCTGCGACCCGGGTTCGATTCCCGGCCCCCCGGGCAGATGGAGCTTGTCAGCCCTGTGAGGCAATCCATCTAAGAGAAGGTCACTCTAAACAAACCTACGTCCTGGGACCCTCACTGCCACTGTCCAAGTTTGCTTGGCCCCCGCAGATGAACCTCAGGATTAAAGGGTGGGCTCAGTTCAGCGCATGCTGAGTCTCACCTAAAAAATCCACTGCGCAGGCTCGAAGGGTTAATGACCTTTCCCAAATCTTCGCTCGCGAAGACTGGCCATTATTATTATTATAATGCATATTACTCCACATGATGAAGAACTGAATGTACATGAAAGCAAGAGCTTCAGTCATTCACTAACTGTACAACAGAACATGAATGCGAAATATCTGATATGTAATCAGAATGTTCCATACCAATATTAAAAGAATGCATCTGTGCCAATTCCCACAACACTTACGAAAAGAGAAGTCTTTTCCTTGTAGCTTGAAACTTATATTGGAGCCATTGGTTTGAGAATTAATTTGAGTCCTTGTTGTTTGTGTTTTCTCAGGACCTGTGAAGAGACATTACATATATACATGCAGAGAGCAGAAGCAAGACATCATACAAAAACAACACATCAAAGCTGATTACTAGAGAAATCTTAACTTCTGAATTAAGAGTAGAATAAAAATACCCCCTTAAGAAGTTCTTGTAGGATTGTATTTAAGCATTTGATACTACTGATCACATCTGTCATTTCTCTGCCCATGGGCTACGTCAGTTCCCACATCTCTGCTTGCAATAATAGGTCAAGCAAGCTGTCAAATTCCAACATTCCACATAAGCATCATCTACACAGAATCCAGTATTATTCAGAAACAAAAAATAAAACTGTTTCTATATTAAAGTGTATCTGGAGCCTTCAAATGAAAGAGTTTGCTACATGAGGCAGGTGTACAAGTTATTTATGGACTACAAAAGCTGAGAAGAACAGAAAACATAAGAAGAATAAAATAGAAGAGCATCAGAAGAATGCTTAATGATATTTCTTCCATACTTCCATCAACAGTAACTTCAATCTCTGGGACATTTGAATTGCGTGCAGGACTTCGCGACCTTTTGGAACTCCCTGGACTCGTTGCTGGAAGCCAAGAGAACACAAGGTGTAAAGCACAAACCCTTTACAACATATATCCCACACAGCTAACAAAAAAAACCAGCTGTATTCCAAAAATTCCAACAGACTGAACTAAGTACACTGTAAACCCTGAACAATACAGTGATGCTCACAGCCCTAAAAAGTAGGTTTAGTGCTCTTGAAAAAGGTAGGTATTATACCTAAATTTTTATGCCACTAATTCAGAAGAGAAGACTTCATTGTTTCTAAGGATGGATGAAGGACAGGTTTGGTACTTTTTATTATCTAAATAACAAAAAATTATTAACATCTGAATTTTTTATAGGCAACTTCAAGGACTTTTTTTTTCTTATAAAATATAATTTTTACTTACTGCAGTTCACAGCTCTCAGTTAAATATGGTTTAAGCCATTAAAAGCAAAATAAAAGTTGTCAAAATTGGGTAAGTTCCATTTTCTATACTAGGATATTCAATTTAAAAAACCAGATAAATTTATGGATTATATTTTTCAAATAATAGCATTTGAACAGGCTACTATGCTAGATCATCTTAATGCCCTTTTTTTGCAACACCCATATTTTTCAACCACAAAGATCTTTCAGTCTGCTAGGGAAGCAGAAACTAAGTATTTAGGAATTGATGGCAGCAAATTGTTTACCTTTCGTGAATTTTTTATTAGCCAGTTTTCGAGACAAATAGGAATTGAGAAGCTCAGCCCTAGAAGTTGGACAGAACACAACCTGATCAATCACAAGTCAAATAATACAGCAAAATGTTAACATTTCTTGGAATTCAGTTGAGTTCCAACACACATAACATCAGCTCTTTACAATAAAATTCTTCTAGAAGCATAGATGACTCTCCCTCTACTATAAGTAAAAAAAAAAACCCCAACCATAAAGCTACATTTTCTCATCTGTAATTTTATTTTGAGTCTATTTTAAGCAAAAATAATAAAGAAGAAGAAAAGAAAAATAAGAAAAAAAGCTTCCAGGTACAAGACCATTTCCCCTTCCCTAGATCATTGATGCATGAAACACCCAATTTATACATCTACAGAAATTTAATGAGGAATGTATATCCTTTTATGAGATAAAACATATGTGCAAAATGGTCTTTCTGTTTCATGGAACCAGAATTTAGGGAGCATTTAAAGCCTAAAGTTGCTGGGAATAAAATCAAATAACTTCAAAATCATGAGTAAAAAGAACTGAATTGCAAACATACTTTTTAATAACAAATTTGATTTTGTCACTCGCACGGATAATTCTTTCAAGGCGTGGAATTCCAAACCATGTGGGACTCCGGAAGGGGATTCCATCTGGCAAGCCTTCAACGCACAAATGTGCAGGATTTGACTCAAATATAGCGTAGGGAACTTTCACTATCTCTGAAATCCCCAGAGCTTGGCCTGAAAATAAAGATTAAATGATAGATTACACACTCAAATGGGTGGAATTTTATCTCAAACGACTTTATTAACCTTTGCTTACAGAAGCTCTGTTACTCAGAGCTAATAAAAAACCCCAAACAACAGAAATATCTAAATAGATTTAAACAGACTTCCTATTATTTTCTGTAGAATAACTGCAAATGGGGACTTGGTCCATCTTGTTACAGGTAACATCTAAGCCTGCGGTGTCTAATATTTTCTTTTAAGAACTTTTTTTCATCCAAAAGCTTTTGTGCACATACCATCATCTCTTGTCACACAACTGGAAAAATTATGGCCTAGGATGCTGCTATAAAAATATTTATGTCAGTTACAGGATAGAGTCAGTAAAATATAGGTAAGAGGAGTCAAGATTTCCATATCTGTCCTAGTATATTTCTGATGCTTAAGTAAATACAGTAACGTTTAAACAGAGGAGTTTTAAAATGCAGCAGCATTACAGAACGGTTCATTTAGCATTTAACTTACCAAATTTCTTACTAAATAACTCTTCTACTTGGTTTCTTAGGTTTGCGATCTTGGCATTCCAATCTTCTCTCTCTGAAAACCAGAAATAGATATGTCAGAGAATGACTCAGTTCTAGGTACAGAGGTACATTTGAACACATTTGTTCCAACATAAGAACTTGAAAACTATCAACACAATCACATCTGAGGAGACAAGGATACACAATGAATAATGATTACTAATAGCGGATTAATGATACATGCAATTCCTTCTATATAATGGAAAATCTGTTTAAATATATTACAAATTTCAAACACTGACCCAAGTGGGAGAACTTGTTTTTCAGAGCCTTTAGATGCAGGAAGAAACTATTTTAGTGGCTCTTACTAAGTTGGAATTAATTAATCATAGTGTATAAAAAATAAAACTCTTTAGAGCAGAAGATGAGGATTTAAAAACTGCTTTGCTAAACATTTTGATTAGCATAAAAAAATTATCTTCAGTCGTATTCTCTATCGTAAATAAAAGCCAATTACAGGAGTGCTAACTAGCACAGACAATTTGTAGCTTAGATGGAGAAGAAAGCAAAGGATGTGGTATAAAAAGCACTTATTTTCTAGCAAACGGCATCATACTTCACGTTTCATCACAAACCACAAATAACAAATAACTGCTACTGAGTCAAACCCATTCTTTCCAAGCTGTGGAATGCATGCAGGGAGGAAGCTATACAGAAATTTTTTTTTTCCAAATCCTATTTTTGACTCAGAAATTATCTAACTTGCTTAGTTCTAGTGTCTTATACTTCCATGGCAAGATGCATTATTATTTTTTGCAGTCTGGCCTACTTATTTGATAGATTTCACAGGTATTTAAAATCTGCATGTGTGTAGTCTCAGTGGCAAAGCAACTAGAGTAATTTACTTTAAAACACTGAAGTATTATTCATAAACTATCTGTTGAGAGCACAGGATTAATTTTGCAAAAGAATAATATTTTGCTTAAAAGAAGTCTAATATTCTTTAGCAACATCAAGTTTGCAACTACAGTAGGAAGATCCTTGGTCTTTGTCTGGGAAAGTGGTTTTCACTGGTCTTTAAGCCCAGGAGAACATTTGCTGTGTTTGCCTGTCTGATATCAAACCTTGGACCATAGAAAGCTTTGTGAGCACTGGTAATTCCATAATCACTTATTAGTTAGTGAAAGATACAGTGAAATAACCAGTAAAAAAAAAAAAATTATTCTGAACATTCAGTCTGAGGTTTAAGAATCATCATCACTACTTACCTTTCAGAAAGAGAACTTCATTAGCTGTTTTTTTACTGCTGTCACTGGCACCTGCTGTTACTACTTTGAAAAAACCTCAGACTCAATGCTGCCTTTTCCTCTGCTCCACTGTGAACCCTACCTTTTCTACTGAGCTACCCACTTACTGAATATGAGTTTTTTCCTAAAATCCAAATAAAATCCACAATACGTTGTGATGATATAAGACAACTACTGCTTACATGATCATTAAATCATATTCCTTTTTTTTCTCCTTCACATGAGCTATGTGTGTGGAAAAACATAGGAAGCCCTGGATATCCATTTGTATTATTATTACAAGCAGATTCATACTCCTCTAAAACTCAATGAGATCTGGATGGCATATTCCTGTAGCAAGAAAGTGCCAATACAATCCAATTCAGGGCATTCGGAAATAAACCCCAAAATGATTCTCTCCCCCTGTTAAGGCACTTCATGCTTTGAAGAAGGTCCTCCAACTCCTTACCAACAGAGGCCTGAAAAGAGCTCAGGATGAGCTGTGAAATGCCAAGGGCCTTCAGAGCTTTCATTCAGGCCAGGACAGTAACTCCAGTTCCCTGGGGCTGTGAAGGTGACCCAGTGTAGTTATTCAAAGGCAGGTGGACTGCACCATGATCCTGCAATCCATGTTCATAGTGATCAATTTATTCCTTGCAGCCCCCATGAAGAACATGCCAACACACTCATCACACAAGGGTTACTTGAAAAATGCTGCACTTATCCACCAAACCAAACCCTTCCATTCCCACTTGGAGACAGCACCTGTCTTACCTCTTGGGTTCAACCTGGGCTGAATAATTTCGGTTGAAGTGAGAGTTAGCAGCTCTGGTCTGCAACAAGGACACAAATAATCTGCTTATTCTTGACATAAATTAAATATTACTACCTATGACATGAATTGAAGAGTCTGAATTTTTCTATTATGTTTTTCACACTTGTCAACATGCTACAAAGGTATTTTGGAATACTTGTCTGGATTGCAAATATCCACTTTTTAATGCAGAATATTTAATTTGCCTGTTTGGTAACTAGAAACCAAATGCTTCATGACTTCATGAAATCAAGTGCTTGATTACACACAGGGTGTTTGCTTAGCCTCTTTTTTAAGAAAACCTCAAGGTTTAGGCATTAAACAAATACTTACTTTTTGATCACAAATTTTATTCTGTTGCCCACTTGAATTATTTTTTCAAGGCAAGGGATTCCATACCAGGAGGGACTCCTAAAAGGGATGTTTTCTGGCAGCCCTTCAACATAGAGGTCAGTTGGATGAGCTTCAAATTTCTTGTATGGAACAACTTTGGGCTCACTGCTCCCCAAGGCCTTGGCTGTTGGAACAAAATACATCCAGTAACTGGACAGCAATCAACCTTCATTAAAAGCTAGCTGATACCAATTACTCAGGCTATTGCAATTGTGATCTTAGAACCTGGGACAATGCAGGACATCTAAATCCAAGTCTCAGTACATCAAAAATGTAAAAAATTTGCCATATTGCATGATGGTCTTGCTGGGTGGTCACAATACCAGACTGAAGATTACTGGATTGCTCACTGAGGCATACTACAGTGGTTTTATCCAGAGTTTTTAGTCTATAACAGAGCATTATGCAATGTTTTATTCTAGCTCTTAGGAAGATGACTAGTTTTTCATATTGGAGAGGATATAAAAATTCACCTGGAAATGTTCTAATACTAATTTTAATGATACTGCAATGGACATAAATAAGTAAATGGCTAGTTTATTCACCATCAAAGGAAAAATATCCAAATAGGAGGGAATTGAGAGCAATCAGAAGAGCTGTATATATGACTTATAATTATTTTTTAAAACTATGACTTTACCTTGTATAAGCAGTAAACCAAAACATTCTTTTTCACTCAACTGCCAAGATTTTAAATATTTGAAAAAAAAACCTGATCAAAGGTCTCATTCACTTAGATGTTCAAAGGAAGGAATGAATACAACCTCCAAGAAATACAAAGCTATAAAGAAAAGAAAATAGTGTACTCACCAAACTTTTTACAGAAGAGTTGATCTACCATCTTTCTCAGTTTGGTGACTTTGGTATGCCACTCCTCTTTTCCTGTATTTGAGACTGACACAGAACAAAAACAAAATTCCTTAATTATTTCGGTTATATTTTCAGTTGTTCAGTTTACAGCATGCATAATCATCCTGCATTTTCAAGTAACACAGAAAATGCTGTGAGGAAGAAGCATGGATTCAACTTGGAACTAGAAAAAAATAATCATTAAAAATGACATAATGTTAAAACTGAACAAAAATCCACTGAACCAGTGACATCACTTCCTACAAAATACACAAGAATTACAATGCTTTCATCAGCCACCTCTGATCTGCAGTCCCACTTGGAGATGGGATTAGATTTTTGCCAGTGTCATTTTCTGAAGAATTATCTTGATATTCAATGCAGAATTAGGCATGCCTATGGAATGAAAACCTGCTTACAAGGGATGAAAGGACATATAATACAAATCACTTTTTTCTTCTGAATATGTCTTTGTGACCAATAAGTCAAACTTATTGTCGAAGCTTTTTGTGAAGCTCGTACAAGACACGGGCAGCTGCCACGCCGTGGGTTTAGCCAGCATGCAGAAGCAAAAACCTGCTGGGCTATCAGCAAGCATAAGCACCAGCTCATGCTTCTCCAGCCATTCCTGAGCCAAACCATCACTGCCTGACTGGTTTTGTCTTGCAGCCAGTATCAGTCTACTAAGAGTTTCAGGACTGAAGCCATTCTATAAAACCTTCCTGACTAGACTGCTTCCCACAGGAATGCAAACCCAAATCATCATTTCCTCTGCCAGTCAAAATACAGGTTCCATATTCACTCCATTCCTCTCCTGCTGGGGATACAAGCTAGCAGGTGCTACAGACAGAGCAGGACATTGGATGTGGAGCCAATGTCTTCTAAGATGGCAGTGGACACATGGAGTAGCAGAGGAGACAGTGAACTGCTGGGAAAGAGGGAATCCAAACAGGAAGAAAAGAAAACTGAGGGAAAGGAGGCTCAGACATTTGCTGTCTTCTGTGTTCCCTGAGATGTTACTGACAGCTTCCACAGATGCTCTCTTCTCTTAGAAAGGATGCAGAGGTTACACATGACTATCACTACAGGTTGGTGATGACAAGAAATGTAAGAAACTGTTCATAATGCTGTGTCATAAAAATTGCTTACCACTGGTTTTCTTAGCTACAGGGGTTTTATGAGATAAATAATGTACTTCCTTTGCCTTCGTAATCAGTACAAACATATTAAATATGACTAAAGCAACAGAGAAAAAGGCTAACTTGACCCAAACAAAAGTACACCTAGGGTTAAGGCTCAGTTATTAGCCTACCTACTATTTTTGTAGTCAAATTTGCTGCTTGAAGGAACAGTAGGTTATTAAGACTCGAAACACTACGTTAACTTATACTTCAGGAAAAGTTTAATTCCTGCACACATGTTAAAGACACATTTTTATGGCATAATTGCTTTGCTTAATTTATATCCTTGATATTCATCTTAGTACAGTCTTTGATATACTTTTTACAACAGAAGACTATGAGTATATAATACAACATAACAGTGTTGCACTAGTGCAAACGGTTCTGTCTATATGCTTGTGTTACTGTCTGAACTAAGGACTTCTCTGGTATTACTAAAATTCACAGTTCAACCAGGTTGAGGGTGCCAGTTAGCATTTTGGGTTTGGGAGCAATTTCTTTGCAACTGTTTTTTCAGACATACAAGCTTTCAACACTTGGTTTAATTGGACATTTAAAGAAATGCTCTGAAGCCCAAGAAACAATAGAATTCAACTGAACAGAAAAACAAGTCGGGGAAAGATATTTACCAACTAGTGTTTGTGCTAAGGTAAAATTCTTTCAAAACTTGATTCTTTTTCAATGTTAAACTTCTTTCTCCCAGTTTGAGAGGAAATGAATTCATGGGTGCAACTTGAAAAAAAAAATCTGTTCCTGTAGTCTTAAATTTCCATGGTCATTTTTGCTATCTTTGGATGGGTGCTCAATGGAGACAAGACATGTAAGAGCATGAATCTGCTGAAAAGTATTCCTGATGGGAAAAGTGGATGGAATGTATTATTTTTGCACCACTATAATCACTATGTTCATCAGTGCATTTCAGTTAATCTGATTTTGGAAAATACCATATATAAGCAATTATTCCACAGTACAGACAGTTCCCAGTAAACTCTTATCAGCTGTGGAAACTGTTGCCTTTTCTCTATATCTCAACAGACTAACACCTAGCTCAAGGTTTTTCCTTTGAAAACCAGCTGAATCAAATTAATTGACAGAGTGTTAGTAACATTGGCTTGGATAACCAGTGGAAAACTGCTGTCCCTCTGTAGCTAAAGAAAATTCATAATCCAGAGGAATTATTTGCAATGTGTTATTAGTAAAAGCAAATTGTAGCCACCACTAAGACTGACAAATATGAATATCATACTGTACTTGTACAACTCACACATTTGAAAACTTACCTCCTTTAGCTGTTTTGTCCAATGGAACATCTGTTGAATTCAGAAGTTCATCCCTAAAAGATTTAAGATGCATGCTTAACAGTAACAGACACTTTGAGAAACCAGCCTCCAGTTACAGCCTCAAGTTACTACTGAAGGATCAGAAAAAAACCAACCAAACAAAAAACGCCTCAGGGGACATCATGATTCCCAACATTAAATTCCAATTAACACTAAAGTAGCATAAAAGCTAATTGGAACACTACTGACAAAACATTTTTTCATGCCTGATATCCATATCCACTTGAGCTATAACATTTCATGGTAACATACAGGTTCCATTAAACTTAACTCTAAGATACATTTCATAAGAAACAAAGATCCAAACCAAAAGTTTCATCTCTAAAAAGCAAAACTTCAAAGCAGACACTTTGGTTTCTCAAATACATCTAGTTTTATCCACATTTGAACAAACAAGAAATTAAGCATTCTGATGTTTCTCACAGAGCCAAACTGGTTTTTGAGCTGCTCTGGTTACCACATATTACAAAACCGATAAACAGCATAAAATGATTTCTGTTAACAACTAAGACAAATTTGACAAGAGAAGGTGCCAGCATTGCATGGATACTAAAATCTATGCATAGTGTCTGATTTTAAGTCAGACAAAAGGTAGATCTACACTTCTTCCTCTTTCCTAGTTATCTGCAAGCGTCAGGATGACAGAAACTGGCCATGTACCTCTCAAATAGGAGCAACTAGCACAGGGGCAGGGGCTGTCATTACTCCCAATTCTGAGCCTGACCACTGCAATCAGCAGATTCCTGTCCATTTCAAAAACTTGGATTAGGCCCTACACCACTAAACCCCAGGAAAACATGAGCTGATACTCACTGAAGCTTCCTTTAAGCTTCAAGCAGTCTCTAGGTGCACCTTAGGTGTCCTTCATGTATGCTACCTGATCTACCTCCAGGCACACACAAGACACACATCCAATTAAACCACAGGAACCAGTAGCTATATCTTGGCCTCAAGCCTGCCCTGGGAGATCCTCTATACAGATACAGCCATAGACACTTTGATACAGCGTTCCAGCAAGAAAAAAAAAATAAAAAGCTGAAATTTAGGCCAAGATCCTCAGATAGCATCAAATATGCCAAAGTCAATGGCTTTTAACAGGTACTGCAGCTGAAGAGATTTGAACAGTACAAAGAGATCTGCTCATGACAAGAAATCCATAATATTGAAGAGATCTGTCCAGAGATCTGCCCACACCACTGTGGTGTTCTGCTGGTCTGATAAGCTGAGTTTATCAGAGTGAGCATCAACTAAAAATCCCTCCTTAGTATTGCAAATGAATATGTCAGTAGAAACCAGTCTGGAAGTTCTTGAAGATAAAATGAAGCAGAGAGGAGCCAGCAGAAAACAATGAGTAATGTACAGACAAAAATGCAAAGTTCCATACCTTTTAATCACAAATTTAATCCTCTCCTTTGCTAGAAGTATCCTTTCCAGCCGGGGAATGCCGTACGTGGATGGACGCCTGAAGGGGACACCTTCTGGCAGCCCTTCCACTTGTAAGTCTTCCGCAGTTGACTGGAAGAGTGCGTATGGGATAGACACTCGACCTTTTGCTTTTATAGCTTCAGCTTTGAGGAAAAAGAAGAATAAAAAGATTAGACTGGCTTGTGGCTCTAATCAAATTAGCTGTTTGATATCACTTTGATAAACATTATAATTAGTAGATGGGCAATAACCCCTTAGCACGTTTAAATATGCAAGCATTCATTGTTTTTGTTTTGTAGCAAAATCACTCTGATTCACAGTAAACAAGCTGCAGATGTAGATCCTCCTCTTTTTCCTTTACTCTGTAAATGTTTCTTAACAGTTAACAGTTCATAACAACTGCATCTGTTAGAGTGAAGAGTCACACTATTTTCGTTTTGTTTAATAGTTCATTTTGAAAGATGAAGTTACCTAGACTTAATTATAAACCAAGCATGTTTCAGTTCACTAGCTCTTACTATTTGTTACTACTATTGACTTACAAAAGTCATTAAAGCCTTGGAGGAGGGGCACACATCCCTTCTTTTTCAGTGAATTCCTAAAGTTGTGGTTTATTTTAGAAATCCAAGGAACCACTAAGGAAATAAACAATACACTTCTAACACTATTGAAAAAAGCATGGCCTTACTAATGAGATCTTTGAAGCAAATGGAAAGCAAATAACTGACTCAGCCACAGATGGAAAATAACCTCCGTGTATTTAAGTTATGAGGACCATAATCATATCAATACATGTATCAGGCTGGCAAATACTGGAGAATGACACAAGGCTTTGCAAATATGAAAAGGGCTGATTTCTTTATACTCCCAAGGGTATGTTAATTTTGTAAGCCATGCAACAAATAGTTTGGTACATTCTGTTGTTTTGCTATGGAAATTAGATGTAAAAAATTATTTGAGGAGAGAAAAGCCAAGCTAAGGCCAAATTAAAGTATAGTGATGTTGTGGCAGCATTTCTGAAAGCAAAACTACTCTGGGCACCTTTTCAAGCAACTTAATGTCACATCTAAGTGGCCCGTGGTTCAGACATTGCCTATGCAAAATGCTCTCATTAACTCACAAATTCTTAAATGCAATAAAACAGTGTAAGTTTTAAAGCTACGTGGGTAACACACTCTTTCAACCACTTGGAACCAGAATATTTCTAGGGATGTTTATCACAAAATAGGCAAACTTTGAAAACAAGTACATTTCTTAGTACAGTTTTCTATTAGTCTTGTACATACGTCATCTTAGTCTTGTATCTTAGTCTTCTATGCTGATCGGAACTGAGTATCAAAGTTTTAGAAAACTGCAAGAACGGTGTTTCAATTAGACTTGGTTTCAACTGGCAAATACAAGATGGTCAAAATTGGAGACAGAGAATAGAATCATAGAGATGGACAGGAACCTGAAGATGAATCTTAGCAAATAGACTAATGAAACCCTACTCAAACACATGCCAAAGGTGCTCCAGAACAATCAAAAGAGCTGTTGTGTATCACCTCAGTCCTTCATTAATGTAGATTTTTATTGCAGTCATATACCTCTTTCAAGAAATTAAAAAGAAAATTATTCTCAGCCCTGGGGGCTGTTGTGGCATGTGGTGAAAAGCGCAACAAATCCAGCAGACAAGCTCAGGGTAACAGATCAACATCACTAAAATCCAGATCACTACCAAGCATCAAGTAAGAACAGCTTCACAGGAACAGAAATCCTCTCTGTTTACGTTAAGTAACTAATAACAGGTAAGTTTTTACAAGTGAGAGTCTTTATTTCTCTTAAATCAGCAAATTTTTTAGCCAGTACACTTCATAGAGCCTAAAAACACCATCAGCATCACAGTCTGCAGTGAGGCTTCTCAGATTTGGAATCTTACATGTTTTTGCATAGAAATTCTACTGAATACAGCTTTCATTTTTATAAATTAGTCTGTATATGTAAAGTCACTAACAAGTAAACCCATTTAGTTTTCATCTAGACAAAAAACTATATTTTCAGACACATCAGTTGCAATGGATTACAGTGACTGACATTGCTAAAACACTATGGAGCTACAAAAGCCAACAAATTTGAAGAGCATTCTGGGAATTCTGGACATCCATATCTCATTTCAGTAAATGGGAGATTGCATGCCCATACAGAAAGAACTAGAGTCTGATAAGGAATTGGTTTGTGAATCAAAGCAATGTTGTCATCCACAGGGAAAAGGGGATAATTTAATACCAGATGCCCTGCTATGGAAAGTCAGGAATAGCTCAGTATTCCACAGACTACACAGGAGATTATTAGGCTGACTATGTGCAAACACCAAAATCAAAATTAAAGCAATTCACTAAGAATGATGCTCCTTTTTAGAGCAATTAAAATACAGTGAATGAGACCCTGAACTTGATGTGAGTTGCTTTCGGTGGGCTATTTAAATGTCAGATGATAGTCACACCCGAAACATGTAATAACTCCAAATCACAAGGTCCATTCTGAAAGCACTTCCACTTTTTATGGTAGATGAGCACCACCATTTATTTTGAAATCTTTGCTGACGCTGTTTTAGTCTGTGATACTGGGACACAAAATGTATCTACATGCAGCATCTGGAAACAAATTCCAAGGTCTAACATGTCTGATCCTTTTTCTTTCCAAGAGCCATTAACATATAATTTTTGCTTCACTGCAAATCAGTCATAATCAGACAGGAACAATCAATGAGTGGCAACCTCTCCCTAGAGCCATTCTAACAAGATTCTTTCATGTAAGAACTTGGTGTAATTACAGAAAAAAGGACAGCTCTCTCAAATGTGGTTGCCTAAGACATGAGCATGTTGGAGTTCCAGGAAACTGAACAAAACTAGTACCAAGTTTTGCATTTTGGTGCCAAATGGAGACACTCCATTTTGAAATTACTCTGCTAATCAAAAAAGCTACTTTCCCCAGTTTTACGTCTCTTAGCAGTATTTAACCCTTTGGTGCTGTCAGTTCAGGTGTACTCCTGAGCCAACAAGATACAAGCCAAAGGGCTGTCACAATAAGAACTAGAGGCAATGGTTTGGAATGGTGTGTAGCACATACCGTATTTTTTTTCAAACAGCTCTTCAACTTGCTTTCTCAAGTCTGTAATTCGTGCATTCCATTTCTCTGCAAAGAGAAGGACATGTCAGACTACAAACAAAACTGAGGATCTCTTGTAAAGTCTGTGTTACCAATGAAATATGCAGTGTGCTTTTACTGCTCACTTGCATACAGGTGACTGCAGAGTACAGTACAAGCTATACTTTAAAGCAAATGGATATGTTCAGGAAAAAAAAAGTACAGAATAAATTCTTTAAGATTACCTCCCAAACTTGTATATTAAATCGAGTTAAAAAAACCACAACACAAACCAGGCTAAAGTAACTTCCAAAACTGGCTTCTCTTCGACGGATCAGTCAGCAGCTCTCAGAGCCATCAGGGGTAAAGGCAGTTTGTAGCTGCTGTTGATAGTTATCTAAATTTGTGTGCTGAAAAGCTTAATTATTGAAGCTTGATAAAGCATACAGTGAGTACATGGAGTTGTTTTGGCGCAAATCTATATAACTATCTGGGTCAGGAGGCATTGTGCCGTCCTCTACCTTAACCCAGCATTTCTCCAAGTCCTGGTGTTGCAAAACATCCTCATAAATCCTACTTCTGAAAGAAGATACAGACTGCAAGACAGAAGTTATCCAAATCCAGTCCTGTGTTACATGGACAACTGGATTAAATGGTAGAATTTTAACACTTAATTTTCTGCCTGTGACAGAGCACACGTTTTCACTGCTTTTTTTGTACTATCTCAATGCTTTTAGGAAAATTCCACAACTCTTTTGTAGATGTTACCAGATGTCGTCTGGCCTTTTAAGAAAGAATTAAGCAAGTGTACTTACAGCTTATTTCTTACTCCAAAGACTTGAATCTAGTAACTACAGGGGTCAAAAAATGATGCCATTCAAGCTATGACACTTCCAGTTGTCAAAAAATACTTATATCAGACAAGAGAGAGGACTGAATTTTCAGTCTCTATCAAAAGGGACTTAAATATTCATTCTCAGACCAATGTACACAGCTTTGGTGTCCATATTTAATCTTTTTTTTTTTTAATGTAGTTTCATGGATATCAACAGAACAGAATGCTTCAGATGTAGGCAAGAATTAGACCTTTTTTAACAGGGAAAAGGTATTTTGGTATGCTGCCTTGCATCCACACAAACTCTTCATTCTAGTTACCTGGCAGATTTTGAAATTACATTCTTGTGGATAAATTTATACAATTACTTCTGCCACCCTTCTACTGCTACCCTGTACTGCACAGCTTCTTATGTGATAAACACATTGTGAGCTCAATGTTTTCTATTCCTGTGTCGCTTTCTCCTTACAATATTCCCTCCTTTAACTTCAGATATAGACCTAGATGAAGCACTCTCTGATTTTAGCACAACCACCAGCTGCATTTTCTGTTGACCAGTGGAACAATGGATTAACAGCAGCTTTAGCAGAAGAGTCAGGAAAATATGAGCCAGAACTGGTTGGTCTAAAGGGGAAACCCTACTTTACTCCACAGAGCTGGTGAACACACATGGACAGTCATGGAGCAAGGGTTTTAAAAGGCATCTGTGTGACTCAGGAGTGGAACTAAGGAAAGCATTAACAGTTGAGATCCTGTCAGTTCGTCAAGCTCTAAGGCAGACTCGAGAAATGATCTCCTCTAAAACTCAGGCTGAGGGAGAACAGGCAGAAACAATGTCATACCATATTACAAAACAACCATATAGAAGCATACAAATAATACTGAATATTGGTGGTTGCAGAATTTTAGGAGACACTGCTCCTACCCTGACTGGTCTCTTACATAAGCCATTAAGCTATCAAGGCTTCATTTTTCTCAGTTTCCAAATCTCACTATCACTGGTCAAATGTACCATGTGGATCTTTTCAATCTCCTACTTGCACGTCCCTCTCCCTCCAATGGAAACACTACAGGGATTCATAATCAAATACACATTACAGGCATTTTTGTTTGGAATGGTGAATACACAGAGAACAGGAAACTGGAAAAAAAAATCATAAACTGGCTCACATTTTGGTCAGCACACTGTTTTTTTGGCTACTTTTATACTCTATTAGTAAATCGAACAACAGAGATATTTAAAAATTCAGAGGGATTATCAGGTAACCAGTGTGATTTTTTAATCTGATTGTCAGCATTACTAACCCCTTGGATCCTGACCAATTACTGTAAAAACATTCTTTCATCACACACTTTGTGCTCACATAGCAAAGTTGAAGACCTATCACAAAACTAAGCTGATATACTCTGTTTTAGTAACCACCGCAAAGCAATTTAGTTTTCCTGTAGGCACCAAAATAAACGGTGGCTTCCTTCTATTCCTCCATAAACACCTTCTGATACACCATCCCAGTTAAATAACAATCCTGAAAACTTCCCCCATTTGTCCACAGTCTCCTCAATTTATCCATTCTCTGCTCCTTTGGATATGTTCCAGATAACATCCACTACAGCTGAGGAAACCTGCACAGTGTACCTACATTGATGCTCAGGTACTAGGCACTCTACTATTCCCATATCCATGCCATAGAGTACTCCATGGGGAAATAAAACAGAAAACACACAACTCAGCATGGAAATCAAAGAGCAACTCTAAGCATGCTGCAAGCTGGTAAAACCTGTGCTCAACAGTGTGCCAAAATGGGGAAAAAACATACACACTTCCCATCACTGTCGTAGTCAGACAACAGCTAGGGGGACTTTATTCCCCACTAAAATGGTTTAACACAACTGCAAGACACAACTTGAGGCTTCTGACCTTTTTATAAAATTTCTTAAGAAAGCAAAAGAACGTGGAAAGTGATTTTTACTGACAATGTCAGTTCCTTTCAGCAATGATATTTTTTAACCTCAAACAGCTGGTTCAGATTTTTTTTGAAATCCAACTTCCCTTCCCAGAGATTATCAAATTCTATCAAACATTTTAATAGACATTTGTTACAATTATTTTGTTTTCCTGTCTCCACAAAACTAAGAGCACAGTTCATTATTCACCCTGTTTCTCAGGCCACTTGGGCTACCTGATCAATCAATCAAGACATCAAGGAAGTCCCTCCAACCCAAACATCTCATTGCTGTTATGTAAAATACTGAAAGCCCTTATCAGATGAGACAGATTTCTCTCTCAAGCATCTATACCCCCTTTCCAGTTTTCTGAGTGCATGTGCCTTTGTCATTCTGCAACTTCTCATGATAGAATTAACCACCTCCTTTCTCCTGTCCCATTAGCTAATATTAGACTTGGTTATCAAAGGTGCAAAGTCTTCTGAAATATCCAAACACCAGCACTGAAACTACCAACAGTTGTTAGTTTTTCCATTAGAGAAAATGAAGTATCTTTCTCTGAAGCTTCTCACATTCATTTTGTGTTTTAAACAGACCTGGAAACACTATAGAGAAATGCAACTTTCTGTAGGTGAACCCCAAAGTGAATATGAGGGGCAATAACGCCAATACAAATTAGGTAACCCAGGAGTAAAGACGTCTGAATAACCCGTGAGCTGTAAATCCCTGTAATCTAAGTGCATAGTGGGTGGTTTAGAACAAAATTTTCTTGAGAATAACTCAGAGCAATAAACTATTAAGTCAACTCAGAGCAACAGTGAGCAGGTAAGCTGTGAGATGCTCTTAAACTGGTGTTTCAACATTGCAAGCTCAACTAAAATTTTTATTGTCCTAAAAGCTAATTACCTTTGCTTTACATCTCTAACCAACATCACTCTATTTCTCTTCAAAAACTGTTGGCACGCAAAGCTTAAATGCTGTTTTCTGCTGAGAGAATATATATAGGGAAAGGTTTGCAAGAGTAAGTGGTAAGTATTGTACTCGCCAATGCTGACATTACATTCGCCGGTAGCACCCAAAAATAATGTTAAATATGGAAGTGGCTACTAGCAGTAATGACCTTAAAAGATGACAGCTCACAATACTTTATTATTTTGGCTGAAATTAGCATTAAATACATGTTTCACACAATACAGATGTCAGAAGGAGATCCAAGGGGACTTTTCAAATTACCTCAAATTCCAGAATTCCTAAGAAACATCTCAAAAAATGTGCCAAAGCACATATTCCAGACTGCATAGAACCTTATAAAAGTAGACAGATGAATGGGCTACGTGTCCAGAAACCAAAACAAACCAAGGAATTAAGGAGAGGTAAAGGACTTCCAAAAAATCCCAGGGGAAGCATCTTTGACCAGAGTAACCATGGCGTGTGGATGCATTTCTGTGGAGAACTCTACATAAGGAACCATGAAAAAACACCACCAAAAAGATCCCAACTTTCTGTGTTCTGTGCTCACTTTGAAGAACAAAAAGCAACAGAGGTAGCCTATGATGATGATTATACTCCTGCAATACATCTACAAAGAGCCCTGGGCTCTTGAATGCTTGCACAGCTGTGTCTCGCTCCTGCAGCATGACATTGCCTGACACCTCTTCAGAAAACCAAGCAGAGAGAAAAATAATTTTAATTTTTTATCTTACCAAAATTGAATTCTCCAACTTTTCTTCTCTCAGAATTGCCAGCTTCATTAGTCGACTTGGTCCTTTTTCGCCTCTTATATGAGGGCATATAGTCATCATCATCTTAAAGAAACATAAAAATTGAACACTGGTTCAATGTCCAGAAAACTCATGTGCAATGCTGGAACTGCTTTGAATTTCAAAGCTCTAATGCTAATATTGCACTGGGCTTATCAGGGCACCAAACTGTGCAACACATTACTTATGTGAGAAACTTTAGAAAGCTCCTCTTCCTACCCCTGTAGGAACAACCTGCGCAAGACAACCTCTGTAAGGCACAAGACAGCAAAAAGCACAGTTGCTTCTGTACTTCCTAAGAAAACAACACTGTGTTTTGAAACATGACTGCCAACCTCACAATCATAAAATGACCATGCAACAGCAAAAGGAAATCAGGAAATAAACTGTGCAGATATTGACGACATTTTTTATCTATCTGGAAGTAGTACCCTTCCACTAGAAAGTCTTGCAACAACAGCACCTAAGTTTTGTCTTGAAGAGCTCAAAGCTGCTAAAACCAGTTTCGAAACACTGTAACACTAATGGACGCAAATGAAAACTCATGTAACAGGTCAACTCCACCTAAAACACACACACATGGACAGACAGGAAAACTGCAAATGCAGGAATTTTTGCGTGAGCTGCTACTCAGCCAGTCACTTCTCAATTCAACCCTATCCTCCTTAGGTTCCTGAGCTAGGAAGACTGTCCAATTCCCAACACCTGCAACCTTAATGGAAAATGAACCATTTCAACAGGCAAAGACAATCAATTTCACATAAAGAATTGCAGGTACCCAGGTCACTAAGGGTATAGTTCACTTTGCAAGAATAACATGACATATTGACACACCTTGTACCTATGCAGTTGTATTATATTCCGTCAGACAAAACCCCTTCAGACCATTTTTACTTTTGCGCAAAGGCCTTTACGGATACACAGAACTTAATGACGCTTATTACCTCTTCTGTTGAGATAATAAGAACTTTTCTGCAAGAGTTACTTTATTGCTGGATGACAAAAAGGTAATAGTAATGCAGAAGTATCAACTTTGTCCTAAATGCCCCTGCCTATTTCCTAAATTGCTAACTGGGTGGTCTCAATCCTAAACGAATTCCAGAAGCAAGCACTGCAAAACCCACACGCAGAAGTGCTTTAAAGCAGTCACAGGACATGTAATCCACAAACACAAGAAACAGAGCTGG